ATAATAATTAATAAATTCAACTAAAACTTATGAGCATATATGTGGGTACGAAAATCTTGAATGCGTAGATAATGCCTTAGTTAGGTACGAGCGCTCGCGATTTAGCCAAGCAGCGCGATAAATAAAAATTCATAACTTTTTCATAAAATGCATCTTATTTTAAGTGTACTTATAAAGTAAAGTTTACTGAACAACCTCATGTAGATATTAAAGTGGAAATCGGAGACAATCGCCTATATACATTTTTTTCTCTTAATTTTACCAATGTTTAACCCTAGATAGCCAACGTTCAAAATTTATACTTTGATGCCAACAATACGTAAATTTTACCGTATATATTACAAATATGTGCAAAAATTGTTTCAAACCATACGACTTACTTTATTGCCAAGATTACGTAAAATATACGTATAATATACGTGAAATATACGTATAACAACCATACGAATTTGCCAACTATACGTAAAATTTACGCGTGGACTATCACTCTATATTCATTCACTGACAACCCACACCTGCCACATCAAAAACACGTCGGCTGCCAAAAGTAGTGATGGAAGGGAAAGCACTGCTTGAGCGGCGAAACGAGGATGCCAATATTAGGTAAATTATTTCAGATTAAAAAAAAACTTTACGTAAATTTTACGTAGGTTGGCTATCTAGGGTTAAAACGTTTTAAACTTTTAATTTTTATTTTTTAAATTCAAATAGGATTTTTTATATATGTAGATTAAGGTGTACTTTAAACTTATTTAAAAAATTTATACATTTTTTTGCTCGATTACAAAATTTTACTGTTTTAAAAACATTCTACTTTAAGGTGTCATAATATCAAAACATAATTATTTATAAATAATTTTTTACCAAAATCTATTGCTTAAAGATGTTTTTAACAAATTATCGTCACAAAAATACCCATAATAAAAAGTTTATAAAAATGTGTGAGACGCGGGCTCGGTTCATTTATTTAATTCAAATGTAATTGAAAAAATTTGGGGATAAAAATATAAAAAAATAGTTTTTAAATGGGTCTGAATCGCAGTATAAAAATAAATTTAATTTTACAAATATTTTAAAAGATCAAGCAGATTTTGGGATTACTGCTCAGTGGAATTTTTTGCGACCTCTTGTGAGGCTTTGAAAAAGCGACAACAATAAAAATTACCAGACAATACCATTTGAAGCTTTAGATAATAAAAATATTTTGTGTGGACTTTTCTCGGATGACACAGTTTTTGTTAAAAATGTAATTACAGGAAAAAAATAAGAACTAAGTTGACACTTTAGGTTTATCTTTATTCTGACGTCTTCACCATTGTTAATTTTGCAATTTTTTAAAGTAATATATGTATTTTATTCTTTTTTTTTTAATTTTCATTCCATGTTTTTCGTCTTGTAAAAATAAAACATTGGCAATTGTTATTTTAAACTTGTATGTTAATTTAGAACGATATTTAAGTAAATATTGTAGCGAGTACCGCTCTGGATCTCGGAATGATGACTCACCGCCGATGAGTCATCGCCGCACACTGGGAGGAATTACAAAAATCGCGGACAAAACCCTATTTTGTAAAAATCAACATAGTAAATTTTAAATTACAAGTTATAAAAAAAGAAAGCACAGAGATTATGATTTTAAAAGAAATATATTTTTTTATGATAAAATGCCCGCTTAAACTTGCTTAAAAAGTCACATTGTTCGTATCGGTTTTTTAGAGCAAATTGTATGTAAGTTTTTTAAGCCCATTTTTGTTTTGCGTAATTAATGAAAGGAAATGATGGTATATTTTACTACATTCCTTATCCTTGTTCTTTCATATAAAAGTCTAAAATTGCAAATTTTACCATAAATACGGTTTTTATAAACCTTTTACCCTCGCCTTTAAAAGTAGATAAATCTTTTACAAACCACAAGATATTTCGTTAGGTGTGCCTTGGTGTGAGGCAAAGTATTTGGTACCAGAACGTTCATCAAATTTTCTTTTTTTAAAGTCAAAAGAATTAAGCTGCCTTTTTTTGCCTGTTTGGTCAGCAGAATATGAAATATGTCCATGAATTTATCATATTAGTCGAATATTTATAAGTCATCATAGTTGCCTTTTGCTAGTTCTAAAACGTCAGTTTCCAGTAAAAGTCAATCATACATACAATCTCATCGTGTTTTTGTGTTTATTAACGCTTTATAATAATATTTGGTAAGTTATAATATTAATATTAATATAAATATTACATGTTTATTTGAATAACTTGCTTCTTTTTATGTAGAAATGCCATCAACGACTAATAAGGAGTTGTATGAACTTATTAAAAATGTTAGTAACAAAGAAAAACACAACAAACTTTTAAAGTATCTAACCGAAAACCTGGATATTATTGATAAATCTTATATTGTCCCCTGAATCCAAAAATATCGTCAAAAGTTAAAAAAGTAAAACAGTTTTTGAGATATAGTCAATTTTTCATTTAATATGGAATTGACTTTATTTCAAAAACTGCTCCACTTTCATATTTTTTTATGGCATTTTCGGATTCAGGGGACAATTTTACATAAGAATTGGATGTTTAATTTTGGGATACCATTATATTCCATGGTTAACTATGGTACAAGTAAAAAAGCAGCCAATAATAACTATTAAATTAGTCATTTTTGACTAATTCATTTTTAGAGAGTAGGTGAAAAACGTGGATTTAACCGGTTTTGCTTTAAAGTCAACTTTTAAATGTTATTTTAACATCGATATAGGGTTTTTTGGACCAAGTCACTCTAGTAGTCGATATAAATAAAGCAAAAGATGCGAAATTTACAAAGAAAAGATGTATCGAAAAAAATGTATATAAGTGATTTAGCTCGAATATTCCTTAATTGTTATTGTTTTTTTTGTTTATTTTTTTATTTTTAGCTTAGGTAATATTGCGTAATATATTTGTTTATTAATTTATGTTTTTGGAAAATGGAGGATCGACAATACCGAACTTTTTCAAATTGTTTAAAACAAATTTGTGAATTTGTGTACATAATTAAAATATTTTATTAATATTAATATTTTAGCATAAATTTACCACCGCATAAACCTTAAAATGGCTTAAAATAATGTGTCCCTAATTTTGTCCGCGATTTTTGAAATTCCTCCCACTGTGCGCCGGTGAGTCAGCGCTCGAATAATCGAGAACGGTGTTGAGCTCGCTGGAATACTCGGGAATGCAAGTAGGCACCGAATATATAAGGAACGGCGCAGCATGGAACAGTCAGTCAAGTTTTGGTACTCGCGACGATATAAATAAATATACGTGCAAATAAATAGACTCTAGTACAGTAGTGACATATAAATAATTAGTAGTTGTGTTTAGTTAGTTTTATAGTTTCTTAGTGTTTTAAGTGCAATTAAGTTATAAAATAGTTTAGTTTGTTAATAAACCAGTGCGTGTTTTAATTCATACTACGAACAGTAAAAACGTTACAATATGTAGCCAAAAAAAATAATACCAGGTTTTTGAAAATTTTATTATTAATACACTCACAGGCAAAATAATCGATCTACACAAATTTTCGATCAATTTCAATCGCAAATAACTTTTTTATTTGATTTCGGATTTAAACAAATATTACAAAATATTGTAGATAAATTAATGGAGAATCGCACACATTTTAATTACTAAAAATAAACGTACGTTTATAATAAACAGGTTTAACCAAAAAGATGGTTTTTACCATAAGTTTAAGACACTTTGTAGAGTGGCAAAACAGTATATAATTCTAAATTAAGTTTTAATTATCAAGTCACATCTATTTTTAACAGTTTTGTTTTTGGTTCACCTTGATATATTTATTTTTGTGGAAAATATGGATTTTTAATAATAAACATTGTAATTTCCAATATTTTTTTTGTACCAATAACTATGGTCCATCCCTAGTCTATGGAGGATGACAGTGGCAGTTTTGTTGAATCATATGATATGGGATACTTGGACATGTCATATACGGCTTTCAAAAGCTTTCAAATTGTTTTTTGTAAATTAATGTGTTAATTTTGAGGTGTCTTCTTAATTTTAAAAATGGATATGTCTCCGACTGATGTTGCCCTTTGTACTTTACTTCTTGTGACGTTTAAAACACTTGCCACGTAATACTGTAACCGTCCATCCTGAAATAAATCAATGGCTCTAGCAACATCAGTCGGAGACATATCCATTTTTAAAAGTAAGAAGACATCTCAAATGTTAAACATTCATTTGCAAAAAACAATTTTAAAATTTTTGAAAGCTGTATATGACCAAGTATGGGATGATTCAACAAAACTGTCACTGTCATCCTCCATAGCCTATCGATAGACCGTACCGAAAAAATATTGGAAATTGCAATGTTTTTTAAACAATTCATATTTTCCACAAAAATAAATATATCGAGGTAAACCAAAAACAAAACTGTTAGGAATAGATGTGAGTTGATAATTAAATTTAGAACAATATACGGTTTAGCCACTCTACAGAGTGTCTTAAATTTATGGTTAAAAATTTCTTTTTATTTAAACCTGTATATTATAAACCTACATTATTTTTTAGTATTTTTTTAAATGTGAGCGATTCTCCAATTTATCTACAATATTCTTTAATATTGGTTTAAATCCGACATAAAGTAGAAAATTTATTTGCGATTGAAATTCATCGAAAATTTGTGTGGATCGATTATTTTGATCGACAAATTTTCGTTATTTGTTTATAAATAGTTTGCAAGAAAATAATTTTTAAATCAAATGCTATAATTTTTTTTAATCAAACATTGTAAATAAACAAATAAAGTTTTTTTTTAAACTGTACTTGTATCTGGTTACTTATTTACTCATGGCTCACTTGGCAAATTTCTACTTATGTTTAATATTCTATTTTATACTTTAACTTTTGTGCAAGGACTTATTTGATATACGTTTGTACGATACGTATACAAAATATCAGCTTGATAGGATAATTTAAAAAAATAAAAACAAGTAAGTTAAAACTTTTAATTAGCATTCCAACGCCTTTTTAAGCATCGCATCCATTTTAACTCTGTATCCGTCAAGAATGGTATCGACGCATTCGTTCGCCTCATTTCTAACCTCGATCACCCTCAAGTGGTCCTTCTGGTGGTCCTTCAAAGCCCTCAGGAATATCAATTTAACTGGAACAACGTCAGTATCGATGATACCCTTGTAACAGGAAATTAATTGGAACGCCGGTTTTCGGCTGCAGTCACCCAGAGAGTCCAGCAATTCCTGTCCCTTTTTCAGAGCGACATTCGTCGTGTTTCCCGTTTGAGTCGTGCTTTCGACTATGTCCTCATTAGATCTTAACGCGCATCCTTTTATTAATTCCTTACCCTCTTTGGCTATCTCCCGCATCTTGCCTTTGGGCTCCAAAGAACAGGCTGAGTTCGAGAAAGCCGATACACCTAAAAGTGAATATAATTAATTTGTTACCTAATTCATTTTAAAGTTAAAATTTAATTTTACTTTTAAATTAAACAAGATTAAACAAGCTCTCTTAAAATGAATTAGTCAAAAATAACTAATTATAAGTCATATTTGAATAAATGTCATAGCGAAAAAAAAGTCACTAATAATTAGTCAAATTCTTCTAAATGATAGTCAAATTAGTAGATTTAAATTTATATTTATATATATTTTATAAAAGTTTTGACCCAGCCGGGGATTGAACTCAGGTCTGTCGTTTGTCAAGATTGTCAAGCTGTTGTCATAACCAATCAGTCAATCTTATAAAAATCAATTTTATTTTTCAATAAATATTGTTCATAATATTTTAAAGTTGAATATAATATTTGTGGTGCTGTTTTTAGCTAAACTTTTTGCATCTTTGTTTGTTTTTATGAGCCATTTAACAATAGATCATATATACAGGGTGTTATGTAATTAATGTTATATATTAAAATGGGTTGTTCCTTAGGGTCCATAAAGAAGCACCTGAAACTTTTTTTTTCTAAGTCTAAAAATAATTTATAATAACCTTTATCCTACCAAAAAGTACGCCACTGATCGACTGGGAACTTTAGGTTAATCTGGTGGATTTATTATGTTATGGTTGGTAACAACAGTTTTTCCAAAATCTTTCAAAAAAGTTGCCAAGCATTGTTTAAATTTAGCTTAATTACAAAAATGACAAAATTAACAATGCAAATTGTCAATTTGGCGTTTTTATTAATTGTTGGTTATTTCATTTTTGTACTGAAGGTAAATTCAAACAAAATCTGCCAACTTTTATGACAGAATCTAGTGCATTTCTTTTAAATTTTAGGTTATGTTTTCAAATTGTAAATATCTTAACTAAGGGAAGTGCGTTTGGATTTATTTACACAAATTAAATGTTTAAAGTTTAACCTTTGAACTGGTCCAAATTTCATCTGAGTAAACAGAGAAAAAATCTGATGAAAAAATTAATTTTGTGGTTATGGATTTCAAATTTCAAAGGTACTAAATTTTCTAATAATTGCTTAAGCTAAAAGCTGGATCAGTAAATAAATACAGAAGGGTATTAGAGCTTTAAGGGCATAAAACTTTTGTATTTATTGAGTTTTTATTTATTTTTTGCAAGAAAAATTTTTAGTAACAACTTTTTACATCTGGCAACGCCTAGCTACTTTGTTGGTTGGTATCTATGTACTCAGAAAATACAGGTGTGCAGAGATAAACAAGTGTGTAACCAGTGGCGTATCACAAAAAATATAAAAAACTTCTAATGCATATTTTTTCTTTATCTTTGGAAAAATGTTAACACCCTGTATATTTAATTCAAATAATACTTTGTTGTTGGCCGCAAACGATTAAAGAAATTAGTTACTTTTAACTCTCAGAAATAGTCAAAGATGGTGACTAATCTTAAATTAGTCAAACTTTAACTATTTACGTAGTAAAAAAAACTATTTAAAAGTGAAAACGACTATTTTATTAGTAAAAAATGCTGGTACTAATTCAAATAGTGGAATTTTGACTATTTCATTTTAAGAGAGAGGATAAAAATTTTTCCTAACATTTCTGTGGGTATTTTTTATTAAAAGAACTACAAGCTCGCTTAGAACATATTAAAATGAAATTTATATATTGGAAAAAAGCCAGCGGGTCTTAAAATATTTTAAATAACCTAACAATCTTTCAAACATAAAAAGAATAACGAATTTATTATTCTTTAGAATTTTAAAAATAAGTTATGAAGTTTGATAGATTGTTGGATTACTTGATTTTTTTTCATGTAAAATTCCAATATGGCGGCTATAGGAAAAACAAGTATGATGGTGAAAACTCAAAATCTAAAATTGGATGAAAATGTAGATAAATATACACTGTTAAAAAAATCAGATTTGTTAACATGAGTTTGTAGTTTGTTTTTTTTTGTAAATTTTTTTGTAGAAACCCAGGGTTTGTAATTATTTTAACAAAGGAAATATTTAACGAAAGTTTTGTTGAAGGGAATAGGCTATTTCGTAAGCATTTTGTTAATTTTAAAGGTTACAGAATATTTTGTTAATGTTTAACAAATTATTTCGTTAAAAAAGTACACAGTCAATCAAAACATTTTCCACTGACAATACGCAACAACAAGTTCAACTGACTTCAGCGTCTGCAACTTATGTTTCTGCTTACTTTATTCTAATTCGTAACGTGTTCTACTTTCCAAAATATTTAAAATATATTACCAGTTATTATTGTTATTTGAATTCCTTATACCTATTTAACGAGTGTATTCCAGAGTATTCGAAAAAAGATGCAATCACTGCGAGTTAAAGTTACGAAATACATCAGTAAGTGTTGTAGTAGTACTAATAATTATATTGTACCAAAATTCTTTATAATTTGATTATTTCAGAATGGTGTGTTATTTAATTATGTGTATATTAATTTTGTGTTCATTTATGTAGGTATGTTAATTTTTTATTAACGAAATTGATTAATAAAGCAACATTTTTTATCAAAATACAAAAAGGTTTGTAAAAATAAGGTTATTTTTGTAAATTACAAGAATTATAGTTGAATTATTGACATAGGATTTTGTTATTAAATCTACAAATGTTTGTTATAATTACAAACTATTTATTTAATTAGTTCACAGATAACAGTTGGTTGTAAACTTAACATAAAGTTATGTGGACCTGGATTAACAAAAAAATGGTTAATATTTGGTTAAAATTAACAAATATTTTTTACTGTGTTCAGGTTTATATCGACTATTTTAAAAAATTTAATTTTTTATAGCTATTTATCTAAACAATGCAACATGGCAAAAAAAATAATAATAATAATACATGAGTATTTTGATGGGGATTTTGACTTACGATTTGTTACAAGTTCCACATAAATATCCAAAAATTCTGATCCTCTTCGTATAACTTTTTCTACATCATCTTTAACAGAATCCACCGTCATTTTAGATTCTTCGCTAACCAAAAATTTAATTTCCTCGAAAACTTCTTGAACATTGGTCAATAGATTTACTTGTTCTTGTCTGGTTGGAAATGATTTGAAATTTGCTGATTTGGCTAATACCAATTGCTAAAATAATAACATTGTTTTATGGTTTATTACAAATTATTAAATTTGATTAAAATAAATATAAAAAATATAATTATATAAAATATATAAACTAATTACTTACAGTAAAAATACCAAAAATAAATAATACACCAAACATTATGATTAAATTTGCTACTAATTTTAGTATGTTTTAAAATGTATCCAGTATGTATTACTGCAAATTTAGCATTACTTACTTGGTATTTAAATTGTGCAATAAAGTAAACATTTACTAAACTTCACACTTAACACATTTAAATAAAATTAAATAAATTATTAATAGGGTCAAAATTTAATTATAATTATTATTGATGGCTATTGCACACATTATTTTTAACGACTATCACAAGTATAAAATTAACCCTTTAATTCTTAAGTGGTTCGTAACTTTTTGCTTATTTTAAGGGAAATACAGTTCATTTTTTTTTTTATCTGGACTCGTGTTTTTTTGTTAGGTTGGTGGCTTATGCCAGTTTGACTTAGTATTTTTAGTATTTAAAAATGGTACATCTGCTAAAGAATTTAATTAAATACTTTGACACTGTCAAATTGACAATAATATTTATTATTGATAATTTACTTATCAATTATAAATAAAAAGATAATTATGCCAAAAATAATAGCAACGAATTCGAATGTAAAAGCCCTTTTGAGGGCTAAACTTCATTTTGATGAAATTATGCCAAATGCCACAATGGAAGAAAAAGTACATCGCCTTATGGAAATTTTTGGAGTAATTAACGAATTTGGATTTATAAATATTAAATCACACATTATTTTCACATTATTCACCATTGGACAACATTTACGTTCACAAAAAATTTTAATTTCTTTTATATAAATTCTTTTCAAAGCGAAGATTATTATCCGCTAGGAATACTTTCTCTTCTGGGCCGTAAAGCAACCTATATTTAACTACTTTTTTTATATGATTTTACTCATCCAAGCACCACCAAAGCCAAATTAATTGTATTTTTAACTACGAATTTCGACAACTCAACTTGAAAAGTGCAAAATGTAACCTACAATAATTTATACATAACCACAATTAGATTTATAACTAGCTTAGTTTGTTTTAATCAATGCGACCAACTTGACAACTGTATTTACCAACCAAAACCCTAAATTTGCAACGTTGCCGCAGTCCAGATAAAAAAAATGAACTTTAAGTTGTTGCAGCTTTTGGTTAAAAAACTGTATCAAAATAAAAAAATGTATTATAATAAGAATTAAAACAACATTATTATTTGTATTTATATTTATAAACCAATATAGTTCTGTACCAAACTTGTTTCAGGAACTGCTTATGACAGACGAAATAGATTGGATTACAGGAAAACCGCCAATAGCATCACCTTATTGTGGATTTCGAAGTGAAAAATGTATATGTAAGTTTAACAAAGGACTATGAGTAAATAAATAAATAAAACTTGGTTAATTAGTATATTTGCTTAAAAATGTATGCAAAGAAAAATGTTTAAGTTCAATAAAGACTTAATTGTATTTACTTTTTAAACTTTAAATCTCATCATTAAAAAGTTTTCTTTGCTACCAGTTGCATTGATTCCTGCTTAAAACTTTTCAAAAGTGGGTTGAGTTGATTAGTTTTTTATCGAAGTAACTTTACATCGTTCGCTTATTTTGATCAATGGAAAAACTTCGGTTGTAAAATAAGTTTATTTCGGTAATTTTTCGCACATATTCGAATTTCTTTCTCCCTCAAAAAGATACAAACTGCTAATACTTTATTTTCAGCGCATACAATGGAAATTACTTGCGGAATTGCAGGAAGCCTCGGACTTATTGTCCTGGTTATTTCCTTGGTTCTGTACAGGAACTGGCGGTATGAGCAGGAGCTGGACAGTCTATTATGGAAAGTTGACTTCAAAGACATACAAATAAACGAAGAAGCCAACGTTAACAGTCAAGGAACAAAAATGACAAGAGTAAGGGCAAGTTTTACATTATAAATAGTTTTATAGTTTTTTATTATACTTACGTGTGTTAATAATATTTTATAAATTTATTATAACAAAAAGTAGATTAGATTAAAGTAGACAGTTATCGGACACTATAGTTATTGGACAATTAACATTAATACTGTAAAAACAAGAGTTATATAAATAGTTACCTTACTATTAAGAAAGTTAAATAAAATTGGTTTTAACGGAGTGGCATTAAGTTGGTTCGAATCCTTTTTAAAAAAATAGAAAGCAGAAAGTTAAGTTTAAAAATAAATTCTCTGAATAAATTAAAAATGAACATGTGGTTCCTCAAGGAACTAAATTAGCTGCCATATTATTTATTTTATACATTAATGATATTGCAAAAGTAATATTAAAATGTAAAATAGTTATGTTTGCGGATGATACCATGTTGTATCTAATTGGTAATACTCAGAGGAAATGAGAAAAGAAATGAACTGTGATCTTCAGAGAATTTATACCTGGCTTTGTGACATGGTAGTTAGTAAGTTTAATAATAATGTAGACCTTAGTATTATAATAAATGGAATAAAATTAGATATAGTTGAAGAAATTAAATACTTGGGAGTTATAATTGACAAACAGTTAAATTTTTTAAGCTATTTTAAGTATGTACAAAACAAGATTAATAAAAAAATATATTTTTTAAGAAGAATTGGAAGAGAATTAAGTATAAATCCTAAAATAACATTATACAAAACACTAATAGCCCCCCACTTGGAATATTGCTCTACAATTCTCTTTGGACTTAACAAAAATGAACAAGAAAGACTACAAATTCTACAAAATAAGGTTATGAGAGTAATACTGCAATGTAACAAATACACACCTGTAAATTTAATGTTAAATGTACTAAATTTTATGTCTGTTAGTCAAAGAATAACTTTTAGAACCTTAATCTTTGTTTTTAAAATATTAAACCATATGACTCCCATATACTTAACTAAAAAAATAAAATTAAACTGTGATATTCATAACTATCCAACAAGGCAAGACAAAGATATTTATATAGATAAACCAAGGTCCAGTAAATATAGCAAAAGTATATTTTTTTAAAGGATTTCAATTGTATAATAAATTATTATTATTATTATTATTATTATTAATAATTAGGGATGGGATTTTAGTTATTTTACCTTTTTTCAACCGATGTAACTATTTGAAAACCAATAATGCCAAAATGTGTTTTAAAAGATTTTCTAGTATATGAACCTAACTTGTTTTCACCTTTTTTACCTTTTTTGGATGTTTTTGCTTTAAACTACCTTTTTTATACTTTTGTTACCCATTTTTTTAACTTGTTTTCGCCTTTTTTACCTTTTTTGGAAGTTTTTGCTTTAAACTACCTTTTTATACTTTTGTTACATATTTTTTAATTTGTCAGTTTATTTTCACATATTTATTATCTATTATTAGGTATTTTTACTTATTTTATTTTTTTGTGTTCTTTTTAAATTTTGCCCCAATATTTTATCCAGGGCGTGCAACTCAACGGTATAAAATTTTTTCTTATGGTCACAGACTGTAACAGTAACTTTTTTTACAGTTACCTTCTTTGTAGTTAGCTTATGTTCTGTCATAGAACTTCTGTGTGGTGAGTGTCACTCAGTGAAACACAGTTTATTGCATGGAAATAGTTTATTGTGGGTATATTCTGTATTTGGGTATGCGGCTAAACAAAATTATAAACGAAACGTGAACTTTTAATGTTTTTTTTTACCTAAAATGCTGTTTTTTTAACCTAAAATGCTTTTTTTTAGTACCTTTTTAGTTACCTATTTTTCAGTTTTTAGTACCTAAATATCCCATCCCTAATAATAATTTACCACATGAAATTAAATACTGTGATAACTTCATTCATTTTAAAAACTTGTTAAAATATTTTGTGATAGAAAAATTGTGATATATGTATTTAAAAAGTTAAAATAATGTAAATGTATACTTCTTTTAATTAGCAGAGGCTAAATAAATATATTATTATTATTATTATTAAAGTCAAATCATTAGATGACGCTGCAGCATACATGTATACAATTATATACAATTATAAATATCTCAGTCGGTAATACAATAGAACTTTAGTATACTTTATTCTGGGCACAATATAGGACAAAAAAGTTAGCACGTAACTTTGGTGGTAAGATTTTTGTTTTTTTGTTAAGAGCATGCCCTGCAGGGCTGTGTTTAAATTACAATAAAAAATATTTCTAAAAAGTGTACAGTATCAGTGTGTGGTATAAATTTGTTCCTCTTGGTTTAAACATTGTCACTTTAATGCGTTTTAATTTTAATTCTGAAAACAAACAGTGAAACGGCCTGTGTCCAATTACTGGTTGGTAAAAAATGTAAATTTATATTATCGGACATATGTACAATATCATACTCTATTTATTTCCCGGGCATTTACCGGCCAATTCTTATGTAAAATTGTCCCCTGAATCCGAAAAGACCATCAAAAACTATAAAAGTTAAGCAGTTTTTGAGATATAGTCAATTCCATATTATATGTAAAATTGATTATATTCCAAAAACTGTTCTACTTTTATAACTTTTGACGACATTTTCGGATTCTGCGAATAATATTTCATAGGAATTGACTGCTAAATGTCCTGGATACAAATTGCTGTTGACGAGAAATATTAGTGGCTGCTTTTTCGCTATGACATTTTCGACTAATTCATTTTTAGAGAGTAAGTAATATATTTTCTTCGTCACAGGACATCTTGCATAAAAAACTAATGGCAACAAAATTAATAAATTTGGAAAATACTTTTAACATACCACTCGAAAAAATATTGGATAAATACAGTGGCGGCTGGTGGATTTTGAATATATCAATATTTCAGTTATTAGAAATCGGACCCACACCAAATTTATAATAGTTATAATGACATTAAATAGACAAGTTCGGCGCAAACAGAATTTAAATTGAAGTTTACGAAAAAAAGTTAGTTTTTCTTGTCGCCTCACCCGCCTCCAGACCCCCCTATTTAAGATAATTCAAATTAAAGTGGTGCAATTTATTATCTACTATAATTTATCGACAAATTTAAAATTTTATTTAAAAAATCCAAATATTACAGGTTTTAATAAATAAAATAAATAATAAAAATTTAATATCGAAGAAAATCTGTAATATTTGGATTTTTTAAATAAAATTTTAAATTTGTCGATAAATTATAGTAGATAATATATTGCACCACTTTAATTTGAATTATCTCAAATAGGTGGGCCTAGAGGCGGGTGAGGCGACAGGAAAAACTAACTTTTTTTTGCAAACTTTAATTTAAATTCTGCCTGCGCAGAACTTGTTTATTTAATGTCATTATAAACTCATATAAATTTGGGTCCAATGTCTAATAACTGAGATATTGGTATACATAAAATCCACCAGCCGCCACTGGATAAATATAAATCATCCCGTTCCGGCCTAAACATTATAAATGCTTAATAAACTAGAGATACCACACTTAATGATATTTGCAACAAACTTTTTCAAAAGTCAGTCCAAGGAATTGTTAGACAATTTTTCAGTTGGATTATAATTAATAATGCTTATGTTTTTGAAGGCGCATCATATTTTTTATCACCATCTTGCCCCACAATTGACTGCACTTTTTTGACAATTCTCCCTTATTTACGATTCTTAGTGGAGGATTATCCTTAATAATAACTTAGACCGACTTTTATATACTTAATAAATTTTAACGAAACTAAATATAGCAATATTGGGTGAATGTGCTAAAATCGCTATCTGGACCATAGTGCGCCGTTGCGCTGCACAGTGGGGACTACGGTGAACAAAAATCGAAAAAGGGAGTGTGAATTTGTAATGTTCTAATATTGCAAAAGTATAGATAAAAGGAAAGTTTCCATAATCATAACTAAGTATTACAGTGCTATATACTTACACTATTTAATTGAATAAAATTTTGTAAAATTCAAATCCAGCTTTTTAAATAACTTAATTAAAACTGATATGTTTAGAAAAATACATTATTATAACTTTCACTAAGGTTTAAAAAAAATTCATAATTTTGCACAGACTGGCAAGAACCCTAAATATTAGTCCAATGATTTGGCAAAAAGGTGGCATAAGTATTTTTTGCTACTATAGTGTATACACTGTTCAAAATTTCATAACCATTTTAACACCAAATTAACACCACACATGGTCTATATCGATACAAACCAAAATGGTGTTAAATATGGTTCGTTGGTCCAGTGTAAATTCAATTACTAAAATAGTGTAAATTTAACTTTCACAAAGTATTAAAATAAATTTTACCTGGTGTAAATTGAACTCCTTTTCAGTGTTAAATATTATATGTTTGTGGTCAAATTAAATCATACTACACAGAAAAAAGGAAAAAAAAGGAAATAGGAAGTTCCTTGACGCATTACTAGTATATTACCAGTGGTATTATTCCAGAAAATGGAACCTTCAACTCGCTAGAGATAATGTTTTTAGTGCGTTCCACTAACTTAAAATACTTCAAGTATTGACAGCTGTTTCCACCTATTTAAGGTCTCTTTAGTATCGAACAACTTATAGTGTCACACCAAAGCAAAGGACTACCTGAGCTTATATATTCTTCATGTAAGTCAACAGAGGCGAGATTTAAGAACATCACGTGATCCACACCGCCTTTTCCGCGATCGGTACACACTATGCAACCAGGAATGCACGGCAAATTGTTTTAATCACAGAGTGCTTTAGGTTGAAGTAACTCTTATTTTACAAACAACATATTTAGTAAACTGAACCATACAGCGGGTTGGTTTCACTAAAGTTTTCTGGGTTAATTTAACCAATTTAAAAAAAAAAATAACTATCTGGTTTAGTACCGTCATACTAATCTTTGTTTCCCACAGTTGATTAAAATAAATACTTATGGGTCAACTAAATTAATATTGTTAAATGAACTATTCCTTTTTTTCTGTGTATGTGCATTTCTCAAATATTTTTAGATTAACACCGTTTTGGTGTTTGCTGTATATAACATTTTCAACCTTAATTTATGGTGTTTATATTAACACCACTTGTGTTGGATTTTGACACCATTTTAAGATTACTCTTTACACCACAGATATTTTAAACAGTGTAGCTGCTACTTCAGGTGCTGTATTTTTTTTAAATGAGTATTTTTCAGTCATAATACTATAAAATATATTGTAGTTATTCAATAATTTATATGAAATAAAATATTTGTCCAAAAATATTTATACTATCCACACCCCTGTGAACAATCTTTTTTCGGTCGCTAGGAATGCACAAACAAAATTAAATTGAGATATTCAATTACTGCAATAAAAATCCTATTCTATAGTGACATAACCTCCACAAAAAAAAATAAGAATAAAATGTAGTTGCGCTGTATACAATTATACTATCTCAGTCGGTAATAATATAGAACTACTTTATTTTGGGTCCAATATAGAACAAAAAAGTTCGCACGTTACTATGGTGCTAAGATTTTTGTTTTTTTGTTAAGAGCATGGCTGTGTTTAAATAATAACTGTTACAATAAAAATATTTCTAAAAAGTGTACAATTCAGTGTGTGGTTTAAACATTGTCACTTTAATGCGTTTTAATTTTAATTCTGAAAACAAACAGTAAAATGGCCAGTGTCCAATTACTGGTTGGTAAAAAATATAAAATTCTGTTATTGGACATATCATACTTATCCCGGACATTTACCAGCCAATTCTTATGTAAAATTGTCCCTGAATCCGAAAAAACCGTAAAAAAACATAAAAGGTAAGCAGTTTTGAGATATAGAAAATTCCATAGTAGTAAAGTAGTAACGCCATCAACCTATCCAGCTTACAGGAAATGCCGAACCACGGTCCTCGATGAGTTAGACTCATCTACCGACTTTCAACGCGCACAACATCCAAGGTTGTGACCGGGAATCGAACCCGCTACCTTCGGACGCAGTTTGTCTCGGCATAGTCGCCTAACCCACTGCGCCATATGTAAAATGGATTATATTTCAAAAACTGCCCTACGTTTATAACTTTTGACGACATTTTCGGATTCAGCAAATAATATTTCATAGGAATTGACTGCTAAATGTCCTGGATTCAAATTTCTGTTGACGAGAATGACGTAATGATATTTGCAACAAACTATTCCAGACGCCAGACCAAGGAATTAGTAGTTACCTTCAGAATCCAGAAAAGGGATGAGGAATCCAAAAAAGAAATATATGAATTACATATATGATATTTAAAAAACGAAATTTAAAAATATTACCTAAAACAGCAATTTATCTTAAAAAATATTTAACAATTTATGTTATTTGATGTAAATTTACCTAATTTAACTTAAGTTATTATGTTTGTATAAAATTTGTATGTCCAATAACTATGGCCCATGTGTCCAATTACTACCCAAAATGTCCAATTACTATACTTTTTTGCATGTTTTTATAAAACTATTATTAAAAGTTCAAATATTTTTATTTTTAAGTAAACCTAAATAAAGTTTAAACAAACAAACTATCCTTTTTATATATTTATAAGAAAAAACTAAAATCTTTAAAACAACGGCAAATATAAATTTTAAATAAATAATATTCCAAGTGTCCAATAACTATGTGGTTTACTTATTTATTAATTAATTTATTAATTATATGATATTTAAAAAACGAAATATAAAAATATTACCTAAAACAGCAATTTATCTTAAAAAATATTTAACAATTTATGTTATTTGATGTAAATTTACCTAATTTAACTTAAGTTATTATGTTTGTATAAAATTTGTATGTCCAATAAATATGTCCCATGTGTCCAATTACTACCCAAAATGTCCAATTACTATACTTTTTTGCATGTTTTTATAAAACTATTATTAAAAGTTCAAATATTTTTATTTTTAAGTAAACCTAAATAAAGTTTAAACAAACAAACTATCCTTTTTATATATTTATAAGAAAAAACTAAAATCTTTAAAACAACGGCAAATATAAATTTTAAATAAATAATATTCCAAGTGTCCAATAACTATGTGGTTTACTTATTTATTAATTAATTTATTAATTATATGATATTTAAAAAACGAAATATAAAAATATTACCTAAAACAGCAATTTATCTTAAAAAATATTTAACAATTTATGTTATTTGATGTAAATTTACATAATTTAACTTAAGTTATTATGTTTGTATACAATTTGTATGTCCAATAACTATGGTCCATGTGTCCAATTACTACCCAAAATGTCCAATTACTATACTTTTTTGCATGTTTTTATAAAACTATTATTAAAAGTTCAAATATTTTTATTTTTAAGTAAACCTAAATAAAGTTTAAACAAACAAACTATCCTTTTTATATATTTATAAGAAAAAACTAAAATCTTTAAAACAACGGCAAATATAAATTTTAAATAAATAATATTCCAAGTGTCCAATAACTATGTGGTTTACTTATTTATTAATTAATTTATTAATTATATGATATTTAAAAAACGAAATATAAAAATATTACCTAAAACAGCAATTTATCTTAAAAAATATTTAACAATTTATGTTATTTGATGTAAATTTACCTAATTTAACTTAAGTTATTATGTTTGTATAAAATTTGTATGTCCAATAACTATGGCCCATGTGTCCAATTACTACCCAAAATGTCCAATTACTATACTTTTTTGCATGTTTTTATAAAACTATTATTAAAAGTTCAAATATTTTTATTTTTAAGTAAACCTAAATAAAGTTTAAACAAACAAACTATCCTTTTTATATATTTATAAGAAAAAACTAAAATCTTTAAAACAACGGCAAATATAAATTTTAAATAAATAATATTCCAAGTGTCCAATAACTATGTGGTTTACTTATTTATTAATTAATTTATTAATTATATGATATTTAAAAAACGAAATATAAAAATATTACCTAAAACAGCAATTTATCTTAAAAAATATTTAACAATTTATGTTATTTGATGTAAATTTACCTAATTTAACTTAAGTTATTATGTTTGTATAAAATTTGTATGTCCAATAACTATGGCCCATGTGTCCAATTACTACCCAAAATGTCCAATTACTATACTTTTTTGCATGTTTTTATAAAACTATTATTAAAAGTTCAAATATTTTTATTTTTAAGTAAACCTAAATAAAGTTTAAACAAACAAACTATCCTTTTTATATATTTATAAGAAAAAACTAAAATCTTTAAAACAACGGCAAATATAAATTTTAAATAAATAATATTCCAAGTGTCCAATAACTATGTGGTTTACTTATTTATTAATTAATTTATTAATTATATGATATTTAAAAAACGAAATATAAAAATATTACCTAAAACAGCAATTTATCTTAAAAAATATTTAACAATTTATGTTATTTGATGTAAATTTACATAATTTAACTTAAGTTATTATGTTTGTATACAATTTGTATGTCCAATAACTATGGTCCATGTGTCCAATTACTACCCAAAATGTCCAATTACTATACTTTTTTGCATGTTTTTATAAAACTATTATTAAAAGTTCAAATATTTTTATTTTTAAGTAAACCTAAATAAAGTTTAAACAAACAAACTATCCTTTTTATATATTTATAAGAAAAAACTAAAATCTTTAAAACAACGGCACATATAAATTTTAAATAAATAATATTCCAAGTGTCCAATAACTATGTGGTTTACTTATTTTTTAACCTTTACACAATTTACCATATACATTCTTAAAAAGGCATATTTTTTGAAAATCAATTTAAATATTGATTTTTGTCCAAAAACTATTTTTATCCGCACTGTGCGCTGTGTGGCGTTTATTTAAACGTTTTTTTTTTGTTTTCAGTCCATCCACCCTCTGATAAGGACCAGTCAAGTGTCCTTAAGTTCGAATCCTGACGCGGATTTCCGATACTCGACCATATTTACGCAAATTGGAATCTACAAGGGCAGAGTGTTCGCCATCAAAAAGGTGAATAAGAGGTCCATAGACATCACGCGAGAAATGAAGAAGGAATTAAAAATGGTATGTCTTTTTCAAAAAATAATATTTTAAAATTCCATTACATAAAAGAGAGTAAAGAAATTAAAAAATTAAATATCAAATCCGCTTAAAAAAGGCTACTTATAGAGCAACTGTTACAAAACAATAATATACTTGTTTGTAAAGTTTATAAACTTTTCAAGAAACTGAATTTGAGCGAAGAGAAAAACGTTAAATTATGCCGAGTTCCAGCTCTTAATTCATAATTTAATGGGACTGGAATTTATGGCCTTTGTGGCAATATCTTAATAGTTTTTTTTGTTGAAAAGGTTAATTAACTGAAATTTTGTCGCAAAACTTTTAAGAATATTCAAGAATGTTAATTTTACTTAAATTAAAAAGTGAGGTAGAAATAAGTGCACTAAAAAACCATTATGTTAAAAACTTTTGTTAAATTTATAAAATTCGTAATTTATTTTTTATTAAAATAAAATGGTTTTTACCATCTTCTTTATTATTTTGTATTTAACTTAAATTAAAAATTGCGCTTAGAAAAACTGGTTCAATCAAATTTACTTTTTAAGGACTTAATAAAAAATATTAATTTTATAATATAATTTAAGGTAATTTTTTTGTAACTTTTTAATTTTAATTTTATCGACAGAGACAAAATATTTTTTTAAAGAACCTTACAAGACTTATAAAAGCATACACAGATAGGTAAACTTGTGAGTTTTTTAAAGTTTGTCAAAGTTTTTAATTAAACTTTACGAAATTGTTCTTTATTTCAGATACGGGATTTGAGACACGACAATCTTAATGCTTTCATTGGAGCTTGCACAGACCCGCCAAATATTTGTATTGTGACCGAGTATTGCACCAGAGGGAGTTTAAAAGTAAGTAAACTCTAAAGTTGTTCATTCTATAAATAAACCCACCTAAACAGGTTTAAAGTTGAATTAAAGTTTTGTAAATATGAATGAACTTATTTATGCTTAAATATACCGATAATACACACATGTGTGTATTATCGGTATATTTAAAACATAGATATGGGTGATTCTACAAAAGTTGGACAACTTGATGTCATCAGTCAATAGAGTAGGTATATTAATATTTTTTGTAAATATTTTAGTATATTAAAAGAGATCCAGGTTTTTTAACTTGTCCACCCAATTTTAAGGTATTTTTTTAAAAGCGCGTTTGTAGAAAAACATAATAAATATTCAAAACATCAGTACCTTGGCGTGTCACAACTCCTGAATCAAATATTTGAGTGATTTTATTTTAAATATATTCAATTTATCTTAAATTTTTCAATTTCACTACAAACTATAAAACATTATATAATGTTTTATTCATATTTTATCATTGATTCGAATAATAGCAATTTTTAAAAAATTGATAATCTTTGTACTCAATTTTATCCGTCAGTTCTGTGTCCAATCTTAAAATTCAAAATTCCTGCGAAATATTGAAGTTTAAACGTCCTCGTTTGAACTCAAGTGTTGGTAAAAAAATTACCTACAGAGCCCTTTGCACGACAGTCATCTTGAAAACAATGCAAGCGGCGAAATATCAGTAAAATACTTAATTCCGAATTATAATCTCAAATTTGTATCCCATTCATCAGTACCGTGTCGTCAGTTCCATGTTCGATGTTTCGGTTATCTTTTTTTCGCAAACTTCAATTTAAATTCTGTTTGGGCAGAACTTGTTTATTTAATGTCATTATAAACTCATATAAATTTGGTGTGGGTCCCATATCTAATAATTGAGATATCGGTACACCCAAAATCCACCAGCCGCCACTGATGTGTAGTATTACATATTTGATTTTAAGATATTTAATGTATAATATGCTCAAAGTTGCAATAAATCTTATATTTTCCAATAAATTATGTATTTAATTAGTACCCTGGTATACTCGTCACTTCCCTTGCAGTCAAATTTAGAAAACACAGATATTTCAGAAACTGTTTGAAAAAGTGACTGGCCCGGTCTGGAACAGTATATTTATTATATTATCTATGTCCTCATAACAAAATACTGTTTAATTTTCTCCGAAAACTATATAAACAAAATGTGGTCAAAAGTTGCCCAACTTTTGTAGAATCACCCATATGTATGTATTAATAGTATAATATGTATCAAGTTTGAGAAAGGCCATTCTAGTCCAAATTTAATTTAGGCACAAACGAGCTTGCAAGCGAGTGCTTAATTAAATGAGTGCCTAAAAAAGTTTATAAACGAGTTGCACACTATATTTTTTTACGACTAATACTTAATATTATCTAAAAAAAGATTTTAATTAATTATTTGTATAAAGCGACTCCTATACAAAAATAAAGTAACCATCAAAATTAACATGTTTGAAGTTTTTCACCATTAACAGTGGCCATTATTATTTTTTATTAAACTTAACAATTATTGATAAGTAAATATTAAAATTACTTCAACATATGATTATGTTAAGAATTTATTTTATCCTTTTATTTTTTTTAAACTATAATTAAAAAATATTACAAAGTATTAAAAATTCTTACACAGGAAATGTTAAAGGTACAAAAAGTGACAGTTGTATTTATTGGAATTGCCGTTAAAATTCCCAACTTGGGAATCTACCGACGTTAAAATATCAAATTTTTCTGTGTAAATCAAAATTTATCCCTTGAAAATAGACTAACAATCTATATACAAGCAGTTTTTCATAGTAAAAGAGAAGATAATGTTTTATGGGCACTGTACGCAAAATTTTTAACGCTCTACCAGTTAAATCTAGTTAACTACACTTCTGCTCCGAAATAAAAGGTTCAGTACAAACGTTCACGTAATGTTTTTTAATATTGGCTTCAAGAAACTATTTAATTATTTTGTATTTTTGTATTAAGATAATATAATGATATTCACATTTAGTATTATTTTACAAGAAAGGCCCTTTATTTTAACGATTGTATGACATTTCATAAATGTCAACTAACTTAAAACTAACTTCAGCCCGTGACTAAAAACCTGTTGCCAACTTTAGCCCGTGACTAAAGCGCCATAAAGCCATAACCTATCAAATTGTATTTAGTGTCATAAACGCCATTTAATACACGAATTTAATTTAGGCACAAGCGAGCTTGCGAGCGAGTGCTTAAGTTAATGAGTGTATAGAGAAGTTTATAAACGAGGTGCATACTATACTTTTTCTACGACAAATACTTATTATTATCTTAAAATGATTTAAATTAAAAATTTGTATAGAGCGCCATCTATGAAACAACAGGGGAAACTGTCAAATGTCACATTTTTACATTTTATAAACACAATTATAAAGGTTATAAATTGAAATGTATCTTGAAAATAGACAGTTTTTTACAGTGAAAGTAAAGGAAATGTTTTATGAGGACTTTACAGTAGAGTCCGTGCCCGAATTTAAGTTATAGTTTACTGCCGGCGAAATTAAAAGGTCAGTACAATGTTCATATAAACTTTTCAAATATTGGCGTTGAGAAAATATTTAATATTTTTGTATTTTTGAATTGAGATAATAAAATAATTTTCACATTTAGTATTATTTTACAAGAACTTTATTTTAACGATTGTATGACATTTGACAACTGTCAACTAACTTAAAACTAACTTCAGCCCGTGACTAAAAACATGTTGCTAACTTCAGCCCGTGACTAAAGCGCCGTAAAGCCACAACTTGTCAATGTGTATTTAAAAGGTCACTTAGTGTAATGTAAACATGTACGATAAAGGGCGTTTTAAAGGTGGGAGTAGAAAAAATAATTTAAAACTACATACAAGTTTAACAATTCTCCAGATTAAATTTGAACGTTAATCTTGCATAACTTATGGGTCATTCCAACAATTTTTTTTAGGTGTGACCCCCTTTTTTAATTTTGTTTTTTCTTTACATTCAAATAATATCTTACTAAATTTTTTAGCTAATATTATTAAGTAATTTCATGGTGATTATTTTTCGGATTTTGACGAAATTTTTTGAAACTTTTTTGTTAACTTTTTTAAATGTTAATAATTTTTTATATAAATAAACATAAAAATAAGAAATTTTTACAAAAACACAGTAATATTGTATTTTTTTAAAACATTATTTTCATTTAAAAAATATTACACTAAAAAAAATGTATTTGTCGGAATGACCCATATACATTATTGGCTTTATTACAGGACATTTTGGAAAATGAGGATGTTAAATTGGATAACATGTTTATAGCTTCATTAGTAGGCGATATTTTACGGGTAAGTAAATAATCCATATATTACATTTTGCATTGTATAAAAAATATTTATTATGTATGTTTCATTATAATTCTATATATTCTATATATTTTGTTTACGCAATTGGAGATCCAATCTCTACATATTTATGTTTGGATATAATAAACTTTATTGTAAATATAAATAATGAAAACGATTTTAATGTTTAATTATACAAAATACACATGATAAAAAATTAACTATTAATTAAAAATCATTTGGCAAAAAAGAACAGATTTATCTAGAAAATATTTTCCTAATTGATATAAAGCGATGTAAGTAAACTAATAAATCAAACTTCTGGTGTCATTTTCTTTCATCATTTTCTATTGAAACTTGATTACATAAGAAAAATCCAGCTCTGTAATATGTTCACTTGCAATAAAAGATAAGAAAGTCTTCTCGAACTAAATCTTTCACCATTTGGTGGGATCGTATTCAAGATAAGAAGTCTCCTTACAGATTTGAAATGGCATATTACTAGTTTTTATATTAAAACAAAAGTTATTATTTGATATTTGATATTTCTTCGTAGTTTCACTTAGATTTATCTAAATCTAAATAAATTAAACTCAATGAATACTTTAAAGTTAACCTGCAATCAAAGTTGGCCAATTTCCGAACATAGCGCGTGTACGGACCCAGGTTTTCGATACACTTTCGTGTCTTTAGTCTTTCCGCATATTTTCGGGTACTTTAACACTTCGCCAGTTCATCCTAATGGAACGTTTTAAGCTTTAGTCTCCCCTTACCACTGATGTTCGCCGAATTGAAAGAGCCTTTTGTATCGATTGCTACCTATTGCAAATTAAAATTAATTTCCTTGTGAGTAAAAATTTCAACAACGTTTATTATAATACACATAAAAGACATTTATTTTGAACAAACCACCATTGTATATTAATACCTTCTTAAAAAAACACTATTAAGTTCATCCCGGGGCATTCGCCATTTTTGAAAAAATACATGTATCGTGCGAGAGTATTCCTATGTATTTTCATTGTATTCCTATGGTATTCCCTCTCTAAAATGTCCAGGGATTCCCAGGTGTGGGTGACCCCTCGGTATCGTGTTTATATTTAAATTAAAATAATACCAACATTAATTAGTAAAACAAAATTGTGTCCTTATATTAAAAAATATCGGGATTTTCTAAAAAATATTGTTTACGGATTATTTTACATGAAATCACAATCATGATTGCAGTAAACCACCCAATTTTAGTAATATTATATTATATTATAGTATATTATTCTTTAAATCCCAAAGGTAAATTAAATAAAATCTCCATAATAAATACATCTTATTAATAAAAATTCACTTTATCATATACCGTATGTATGGTGCGTAGGACGTTTATATACCATTTTATGACCAGTTTAATATTAATACTGTTTGGTCATCGATTTTGTATCTTATAGGCACATAAAAAGTTTATCTTTGAAATCACACAAAAAATATTTTTATGTGTAATTATCCACGTTGTAATACAAGCACTAACAAACTGCGGGGATGCGAAAAAATATCAAAAAGTAAAAAAATAAAACAAAACAAAAAAGTCGTAAAAAGAGTATCCTATGTTACTCTTTGGTCCTTATACTTCTCTGTGCAAAAAATCACAAATACAAATAATATAAATATACCATGTTATATTATTCCTATACAAAAAGTACTTTGTCTTGATAAAGTAAAGATTCCTATTCGTCCAACAATTGCTTTTGTTACGGCAAAAAATTTTATAAAAATTATTTATCTACAAACGATGCTTTCAGTAATAGCATTTGCATTAATTATAAAGTAAATTTACGTTATGTTTATAAAAATAACACTTTTCCAGATGCAGAAAGGCATTGATAAATATAGTTATTATTATTTGTTCTATACCTTTTACAAAAACGTTTTGTAGTATTAATAAAATACGAAGGCGTAGAAGGGCCAACAAAAATTTTACAAATTTTAGCCAAAACTAACTTTGATTTTTGAAATTTCTATTCTATAATTGTAACTTGAACCTACAATTGTAACTTGAACTTACAATTGTAACTTGAACCTACAATTGTAACTTGAACCTACAATTGTAACTTGAACTTACAATTGTAACTTGAACTTACAATTGTAACTTGAACCAACAATTGTAACTTGAACCTACAATTGTAACTTGAACCTACAATTGTAACTTGAACCTACAATTGTAAGTTTAAGTTACAATTGTAAGTTCAAGTTACAATTGTAGGTTCAATAGACTGGGCCAAAAAAATCAACTATTTTTTTTTTTTTTAAGTATATCGAAAATATGGGTTGGGGTGACAAAAAAAAATTATTGTGAAAGTTTGAGTCCATATTATTAATATTAAGGTTTTTTTTTTCCTGAGCGAGTCTTTGTTTTAGAACTCAAATCATTGAGTTTAACAAAATTGACTTAAGAATATTTTTTGAAGAAAATTGAATGTTCTACAAAAAAATTTTAATTGGAATTTCCCGTCAGATGAACCGTTTTCTTACAATCATGCCTTAAAAATTGGTTTAGTTTTACAATTTGATCTTTTAACTTTGGAATATTCAATATTCAATATTGTAACTAATGTAAAAATCAGTACCCTGAAACAAAAACGATAAATATTCTTATGGAAAATCAAATGCTCTACAAAAAAAGTCTTTTATCATTTTTGGCTAAATTCAATCAATCAAAAGTTATTCAAGGGTAAATTTGAAGTCAAAACGAAATTTTAACCTTGAATAACTTTTGATTGAGTGAATTTAGCCAAAAATGTCAAGAGGCTTTTGATTTCCCATAAGAATATTTATCGGTTTTTTATGGGTACTGATTTTTACATGAATTACAAAATTCCAATTTAAAAGATCAAAATGTAAAAGTATACCAATTTTTAAGGCATGATTTTCAGGAAACGGTCCATCTGACGGAAAATTTCAATTTAACCTTTTTTTGTAGAGTATTTAATTTTCCTAAAATAATATTTTCGAGACAATTTTGTTAAACTCAATGGTTTGGGAGTTCTGAGACAAAAACTTGCTAAGGAAAAAAAAATTAAAATTGCGATGAATATACCATATTTTCGATATACTTTTCAAAAAAAAAATATTTTTTTGACCCAGTCTAAGGTTCAAGTTAAAATTGTAAGTTCAAGTTACAATTGTAGGTTCAAGTTACAATTGTAAGTTCAAGTTACAATTGTAGGTTCAAGTTACAATTGTAGGTTCAAGTTACAATTGTAAGTTCAAGTTACAATTGTAGGTTCAAGTTACAATTGTAGGTTCAAGTTACAATTATAGAATAGAAATTGCAAAAATCAAAGTTAGTTTTGGCTAAAATTTGTAAAATTTTTGTTGGCCCTTCTACGCCTTCGTAATGAAACCCTAATATTATTTATAAAAATGTTGTAAATTTTACAAATCCCTTTTCGTTTAAAATAAAACTTTTTATATAATATTAATTTTTAATTTAATAAACTTTTTTTATTGTTACAATGATCACATTTTCAACCTACTGTTGGATATTGGCTAGTTTTTTTGTTAAATAGTTGCAAGGCATTATAACAAATTATTTATTATAACAAAAAAATTAACTCATATTATATGATGTACAAAATGTATATTAACTCATATTATATGATGTACAAAACAAAAAAATATGTACTCACTTTTTAAAAAGCTTTGTTTATAGAATACACCTTAAATGTTTCTTTTAGAAAACGTCGAATTTTTAATTTTCTTAGTGATCTTTTTGATATTTGTATCATGCTAAATTTTACCACACTTCACTCGCACAAGTGAAATTAATATGATTATAACAAAGACTGTTGCTTATAAAGTTATGTTTACCAAGAAGAGCGCTGGCCCTTTCCCCCTCTTTTTAAGGGAAATAACAAAAATTTTGTTACCATTGCAAAAAAATAGTAAATTTAAAAAAGTCTTTTTATAGCAGTAAAATATTTTTGTTATTGTTCTTAACGTAAGCTATTAACAAAGATTTTCTAACTGAAATAAAATTAATTTGAATTACAACGATAGTTATTTAAAAAAAAAAATATGCCATAGTAAAATGAACAAATTTTACTATAACAACTGCGCATTACTTTATGTAAGCGCAACTATTACTTTATTATTATTATAAGATTTAACTAAAACTAAAAGTTCGACAAAAATTTATTATAAACATAAAGTATTTCTTATTGTCATAACAATATGATAACAACTATTACTTTGCTGGATGAATATTTTTTTTTAAATCAACATTGCTGCTTAATTAGGGGGCGTCCATTAATTACGTGAGACAAATTTGGCGATTTAAAATCTTATTACTTTGACAAATTGTAGGTTTTTGTCCCAATAAGACACTGAAAATTTAATAAAAAAGGGGTACATTTTTTATAGCCATTACAATTTTAAATTTAAGTTAAATAATATTATTTTATTAATCGCTTACAAAATTATTAGTTTTATTAACAGTGCATGTACATTTTTCAAAGTGTTGTTATAAATAGTTTTTAATCGTTATTTTATCAGCTAGTAGCTGACAGCTACTGACCACAATAGTATACGTATTATGTATCAAGCTTGATAATTGCCATTTTAGCACGAATTTAATTTAGGCACGAAAGAGCTTGAGAGCGAGTGCTTAATTAAATGAGTGCCTAGAAAAGTTTATAAATGAGTTGCATACTATACTTTTTCCACGACAAATTCTTAATATTATCTAAAAAAATTATTTAAATTAAATATAAAAAATAAAGTAAACATCACAATAAACATATTTTAATTAAACTTTTTCTGTATAAATCAAAATTTATCCCTTGACAATAGACAATCGATATAGAGGCAGTTTTTCACAGTTTAAGATAAGAGGATGTTTTATGGTCACTGTACACAATATTTTTAACGCTCTATCAGTTAAATCTAGTTTACTGCACTACTACGGAGAAATTAAACGGTACAAACGATCAAAGAATCTTTTCAAATATTGGCGTTAAGAAACTATTTATGCTGTTGTTTTTTTGTATTGAGATAATAAAATATATTTTACATTTAGTATTATTTTACAAGAAATGCATTAATGATATTTGAGAACTGTCAACTAACTTAAAACTAACTTCATCCGGTGACTAAAAACCTGTTGCCAACTTTGGCCCGTGTCTAAAACGCCATAAAGCCACAACTTGTCAATGTGTATTTAAAAGGTTCCTTGGTGTCATGGAAACATGTACGATAATGGGCGTTTTAGAGGTGGGAGTGGAAAAACTATTATTTTGCTTTGTTCCTAGGGGATGATTTACTTGCACGACTCCCCGGTGAGATTCCACGGGGCCCTGAACACCTCCAACTGCCTGGTAGACTCCAGATGGGTCGTTAAAGTGGCAGACTTTGGTCTTAGAGAATTTAAACGAGGAGCGGAAGACACATCCCTTAAAGAACCACAGAAGATACGGGAAAAGTGTTACAGTAAGTACAAGACCTTTAGTAGTATTCTGTCTTTATCAGAACAAAGAAATTGGTTGCAACCAGTTACTGACCAAGGACGAAAAACAAATGGAGTATATTCTTCGCCTAGTTGAATATCACCGGAAATACAGTCCATTTTTTTTATCTGTACTCGTGTTTTTTTGTTAGTTTGGTGGCTTATGCCAGTTTGACTTAGTATTTTTAGTATTTAAAAATGGTACTTCTGCTAAATAATTTAATTAAATACTTTGACTCTGTCAAATTTTCAATAATATTTATTATTGATAATTTACTTCTCAATTATAAATAAAAAGATAATTATGCCAAAAATAATAGCAACGAATTCGAATGTAAAAGCCCTTTTGGGGGCAAAACTTCATTAGATGAGATTATGCCAAATGCCACAATGGAAGAAAAAGTACATCGCCTTATGGACATTTTTGGGGTAAAAAAGTAACGAATTTGGTTTTATAAATATTACATCACACATTATTTTCACATTATTCACCATTGGACAACATTTACGTTCACAAAAAATTTTAATTTCTTTTATATAAATTCTTTTCAAAGCGAATATTATTATCCGCTAGGAATACTTTCTCTTCTGGGCCGTAAAGCAACCTATATTTAAGTACTTTTTTAATGATTTTACTCATCCAAGCACCACCAAAGCCAAATTAATTGCATTTTTAACTACGAATATCGACAACTCAACTTGACAACTGCACAATGTAACGTACTATTGCGGCCGATAAAAAGTAATCGATTCTTTATCAAGTTGCATGTTTTTCTTAAAAATTGGCTATTATAAGTAGGGTTTTTTACGTCAGTCATGTCAATTAAATTATTTTGACAAGAAATCATAGGTGTATGACATATTTAATTTTTTAATAAAAAAAACTTAAATTACCATATAAAGCATGTTTATTCGTAATACAAACAAAAGAACAAATTATTTATTGGGCGACCAAAATAAATAAATTTAAACTTAAAAAGAAATAGTATACTACGACTATAACAATTATAAAAGATGAGCCAACCAGGGTTGATGGGCTCAGAAAAACCGGCCCTGGTACACATTTGTAATGCTATAAAAACTCCATTTAAAAAAAAATAATTAATACTTGGTAAAACCACCATTCTTCTCTATAACATTTTGTAATCTCCTAGGCATGAAAGTAATTAAATTTTGCATATCGTAATTTTCTTCCAAATTGTTCCAATCATTTTGAATTGCTTTAATAAGGTCTTCTCTATTTCTTGGTCTAAATTCATATTTATATATATTTTTTACGAGATATCCCCAAATATTTTCGATTGGGTTTAAATCGGGGCTTCTTGACGGCCAAGGAAGCGTTGTAATGTGATTTTCTTCGAGCCAATTATGAACCACATGAGCAGTGTGAACTGGCGAGTTTTCCTTAAAATGAAAAAAAAATATTTTTTGATCAGGAAAGAAAAATCATAAAGTGTTACGTGTTGAAAAACAAAATCATTATCAAATCTTGCACTGACGGGAGCATTACATCGTTTAAAATTTCCACGTATCGGTTCCCAGTTAATCGGCCTTCTACAATATGCCCCTGAAGATGATACCCACGCCCACACGTGGACAGAAAATCTTCCGCTGTTGTCAGTTTTGTGGAGGTATTCTTCATCAAACTTATGGTTTCTGGGACGATAAACTCGCAGTTGCCCATTGTAGCAGGATTGAAATATTTTTTCATCTGAAAAGACTACTTGCTCCTAATATTCAGCGTTTTGAAAAATTATTTGCCAACTCCACTCTTGCCTCTTTATTAACATCCGTCAAGCGAGGCTTTTTAGCACTCACGCAGTTAAATAAACCTTGTTCTTGCAACCGTTTTCTTGCCGTCCTAACAGATGCTGGGAAGTTGGTTTCCTCTTTGGCTTGAATGGAGTTAGAAAATGGGTTTTGCCTTACATATTCAACCAACTCGTTGTCGTTTACTGGAGTTGTCTTTCTTGGACGCCCAGAACCCATTACCCTACTCAGGTCACCAGTTTCCACCCACTTTTTGTTTAATTTTTGAATAGCGCTTTTGCTGCAGTTTATTTCATCTGCTATTTGTTGTTGAGACCATCCTTCTCCAATTTTGGCGATAATATAGCCTTTCTCTGCTTCACTTAAAGAATGGGAAGGCATAATTAAATAATGACTTTACTTAATTTAAGATTTACCTACTTAATTTAAGATGACGTTACTTAATTTTATAAAATTATTTTTGAAATGCCACTGACAACCATATTTACAACGGGAAAATTAGTCGATTACTTTTTATCGGCCGCAATAGTACAATAATTTATACATAACCACAATTTGATTTATAACTAGCTTAGTTTGTTTAAATCAATGCGACCAACTTGACCACTGTACTTACCAACCAAAACCCTAAATTTGCAACGTTGCCGCAGTCCAGATAAAAAAAATGAACTTTAGTTTCCTAAGCAATTAAAACAACGTTGTATTTTTGAATAAGACTGATTCTCTATCAGGCAGTATCATCAATAACACCTTTTACGAAATTCTTAGAAACCCGCAGTCTGTGGTGCTACTTTCAGGAATTCTTTTAGTATTTTTCTTAACAGAATTAATTAAAATAAATACTGACTTTCCTTAAAACAAATAAAACTCCAGTATTCCAAATGTAAACTTAGGTGGTTTAATAAATCTGCAATAAAACAATTTTGCGGTATAATACAAACAATAAAGTATAAATCTACATCTTGAATGCATGGTTAGGAGGATAACATACCATAAAGCTTATGAGTGGATGAGTAATTAAGATCGTTTATCACATACAGGCTTTATATGAAGGTTAGGCGTTAGTTAGGCTCTGCTGAGGCAGAGTTGTATTAATCCAAAATTTGCTATTATTTTGGTGATAATCATATACAGGGTGAGTCACATAACTTGAAACTTATATATCTCAGTTAGTATGCATTTTACGAAAAAATGTTTAAAATAAAAATTAAATGATTCGATTGTGGAAATCAATCAGTACTAAAATTGGTCCTCATACTATCCTCCTTATAGGGGGAACAGGGGGTAACTTTTAAATTTCCAATGGAACACCCTATTTTTTATTGCAGATTCGGTTCATTCGACTAAAAATAGGTAGATTTTGTCTGTAATGATAAAAAATCAATTTTTCTCCTGTATAATTTTTGAATAAAATAATCGGTTTTATTTTTGAAATTTATTTATTTATTTTTTAAATTTTAATTAAAGTAGGTGCTCAAAATAACAATATTAAATATTTGCTCGACGAACTTTTATTTTCGGTTGAACACTCCCGTTTGTAGTAAACTGCTTGACTGTACGGTGAAATGAAGTACGTGATCGATTTTTTTCCGGAAAACGCTGAGCGTAGATATTAACAGCATCATCAAGATTCCTGCCTGCTTCTCCATAAATCTAAATCATTTCTATTTTTTCTTCCTCTGTTAAAAAATCCATTATGAATAACTGCTTAGCGAAAGGAGGTCTTTTTGTTTCCAAATTAATCTTTGAACTAAATTAATTAAATAATGCTAAACCTTTGACATCTTACTCAATGGCTAAACTATGTATAAATAGTTTCTTTATAACTCAATAATAATTATTATTTATAACTAAATGCCATTTTTATACCTCAATTAGGATTAAATTAATTAATTGACAAAATAATATTTTTTTACCTTAAATGAGGTATTTTTATTAAAAATAGTACAATAATCCTTTAAATTAAAGGATTTAATGCTGGCAGGTAAAAAGTGACCATGGTGCGCAATTAATAATTATCACCGAATGAAATAATGTATAAAACTTTTTTTATAGAAAAATTATTGCAGAATCGTATAAGAAGAAAAATCGAACAAAATTGATTTTTTTCATTACATCGCCATCTATTACAAATATGAAAAAATGTTTTAGACAAAATCTACCTATTTTAGTCGAATGATCCGAATCTGCAATAAAAAATAGGGTGTTCCTTTGGAAATTTTAAAGTTACTCCCTGTTCCCCGTAAAAGGAGGAGAGTATGAGGACCAATTTTCCCCCTCAAATCATTTAATTTTTATTTTAAACATTTTTTTGTAAAATGCATACTAAATGAGATATTTCAAAGTTTCAAGTTAAATGACACTCTGTATGCATAGTATGATTAATTGTTTTTATAATATTTATTTCCTTGCGGGTATTTATCATAGTATAGGAGATAACAATCTAAATCTAAACTTCATATGTGAATGAACTTAACATGTTTTTACAATTTAACGCATGACTCTAGTGCGGTCCTGATATACACAAAACACTTAACTATGGCATAGATAGTCCCGTTGCATTAAATAAAGGGCAAGATAAAATGGATTCAAAATAAATTAGTCTTTATAATACAAAAAAGTATATACAAACTTAATAATTAAATTATTGGTATGCTAATTTCAATCATTTGTTAGTAGATTAAAAATCCGAATGTAAAATTGGATTGTCAAAAACACAAATCCCATAAATCTAATGAACTTTATGTCAGAATGCTAAATGCAAAACAAGCATTCCATAAATCATGTTCAATTAGTTTATCAGGTCATTTATTTTGGTATTTAAAAATACAATTCTTTATAAAAATCCAATATTTAATATTTTATGTTGACTGATGATATACAATAGTATATTATGTATCAAGTTTGATAAACGCCATTTTACACACGAATTTAATTTAGGCACGAGCGAGCGTGCGAGCGAGTGCTTAAATTAAAGAGTGTATAGAAAAGTTTATAAACGAGGTGCATACTATACTTTTTCTACGACAAATACTTATTATTATCTTAAAATGATTTAAATCAAAAATTAATATAGAGCGCCATCTATGAAACAATAGCGGAATCTGTGTGTCACCGTCAAATGTCAAATTTTTATAAACACAGATTATAAAGGTTATAAATCGAAATGTATTTCTTGAAAATGGACAGTTTTTCACAGTGAAAGTAAAGAAAATGTTTTATGAGCACTTTACAGTGGAGTCTTTTTGGAACTTTTCAAATATTGGCGTTGAGAAACTATTTAATACTTTTGTATTTTTGTATTTAAATAATAAAATAATTTTCACGTTTAGTATTATTTTGCAAGAAATGCACCTTATTTTAACGATTGTATGACATTTGACAACTGTCAACTAACTCAAAACTAACTTCAGCCCGTGACTAAAAATCTGTTGCTCACTTCAGCCCGTGACTAAAGCGCCATAAAGCCATAACTTATCAATGTGTATTTAAAAGGTCACTTAATGTCATGGAAACATGTACGATAATGGGCGTAGAAAAAGTGTTTTATTTGTTTTATTCACCCTTCCTCTTAAGCTCTGATATCTACAGTTTGAGACAAGTCTAGAAAACAAAACATGTTTATACAAAATATTCGTTTTAAAAAGGATTTAATCTGTATAAGTTTATCTTACCTAACCAAATAATATTGAGGACCTTAAAGAGAGTATTTCACACAAAACTCGTTTAATATTACCAGAAATGTTGGAAATAATAAAAATGATATTTATAATCGTCTACACTGAAAGAAATATATGTTTGTTTTAGCAAATGTATGTGGTTCATATATGGACTACCACATACATTGCTAAAACAAACATATATTATATTTAGTTTTAACATAATATGTTAAAACTAAATATAAAAATGGTTAAGGTAAATATATTTTATGTTTCATATATAGACTACCACATACATTGCTAAAACAAACATATATTTCTTTCAGTGTAGCATTTTGTCAAGAAACCAGAAAGACTTATTTTAAACATCTTTTTAAGTTTTTATATTTTTTTATGTACCAAATTATTTATTTCAGTTAAGGTGTCCATTTTTACCTTGGAACTTTTTTAAGCCATTAATAAAATAAAAAAGTACTTCTTATAAATCATGGACTATTAAAGTATACTCTACATAAATTATCCTATAAACCATAGACATTTTGTTATTTATGTTCTGTGCGCTACTGGAAAAAATAAAGAGAAGTGTCCGTGATTTTCATATTTTTCATTATTTATTGCTACGCTTCCTAGTGAACTTGAATTTGTTCCCAATCGTGAAAGAAATTTATTGCGAAACAGAGTTAAGAGAACAAAAACTGTTTAAAAAGTTTTCTGTTGTTCCTAATAACTGGCTTTATAAAGGATTTTGATAACACTGATCTAATAAAAATACCTCACATACAAAATATCAAATTCCAGTGAGTATACATTTTTCCGTTACCAGTATGTCGGAAAAAATATTCAATAACAATTGTATTTCCGTTTTGTGAAAGTTGTGTAATACATCAAATCATGTGTGCATCAAAGGCACAAGTTCGTGTTACAACTTTGTTCGCCAAGTATTTTGCTTCTTGGAAGTTTTGTTATAAAAAAAAGAAAAACTTTTTATTAAAGTGTATGAGCTAAATTATGACATAAATAAACATTATTATACAGGGTGGCCCAACGAAAACCAGACAGCACATAAAATTGGTTTCATTAAGCAATGGTTTACAGTTAAACAAATCCTATAAATATTTCCCAACGCCAAAAAAAACACAAAGAGCTTAAAGTACTTTTCGCCAACGATGTTGGAATCTTTAGAAGCAAATGGTAACTAAATCTAACTACTAAATCTACCATATTTATACTAATTATAAGTCAAGTCAGTACACCCGTACACCCATAATTATATTATAATAAATATTAGTATAAATATGGTACTCTCTTAAAATGAATAAGTGAAAAATGACTAAGTATAAGTCATATTTGACTAATTGTCATAGCGAAAAATCAGTCACTAATAACACTGTAGGTAAATTTGCAACTCTTGAAATATCACAGATAAACGCTCGGACACGTAATAGTATATTATGTATCAAGTTTTATAAACGCCATTTTAGTTACGAGTTTAATTAAGCACGAGCGAAGCTTGCGAGCGAGTGTTTAATAAAAACGAGTGTCTAGAGAAGTTTATAAACGAGTTGCATACTATACTTTATCTACGACGAACACAAAACAAAATTTAAAGCCAATTTTATTTGTTAAAATTTTGACATCTGTCAACTGTCACCCGAATTTAACCTCACTTTTTCCCAATTTATAATAAAGCTAACTTCAGCCCGTGACGTAAAATGTCGAAAAGCCACTGTTGTTAACCTCAGCCCGTCAATAAAACGCCATAAAGTTACAGCTCGTCAATGTAGGAGTAGATAAACATATTTTTTGGTCGTAGATTCCAAATCCGTGCTCGGTTTAGCTGTATCAGGTCTAAAAAAGTTTTTCCTGTCGGAAATCCGTTCCGGGGACAGACTGTATATTATAATTTGTAAAAAAATATAGTTCACCTCTTGTGACAACATTCCTGTGCTTTTTATTTCAATTAATATAATATCCTTAATTATAATTAATAAAAAAAATGCAAAAAACATTTTGAATTTACTAAATTCTTTTTGTGGCATTTAAACACTGTTTCCACAAATCAAACTTTCGGGAATCGATTAAATATAATGTTTTTATTTTTAGGGTTTTTCTTGGACTGATTGTCCGAATTGCATCCAAATATGCCACACCACATTTTAATAAAAGCAAATGGCACGACACAAACTAAAACACAAACAAAACAAGTTAACGCAACACAAAAACAATAATAAACAAACAGAACAGGTTAACACAACGCAATAACAATAATTTGAACACTGAAAAGTAATTCAAACCTTACTGAACACAAAAACAACAAGTTAAACAAAAAATAGAGCAAGTTACCATCGAAAAGCATCGCAAAAACAAGAATTTTAGTAGCAGATAATTAAAAAGCACGTTAAAGATTTAAAAACACTCATCAAGTGACGTATTTAAGGCCCGCCCAACATGCGCACCATCCTATCTTATTGTGTATCTATCTTGTGAATTAGTCAAAATTGACTAATTACTACAGTAACTGTTATTAGTTTGTGCTTTTTCACTTGTACCATAACCTATAAAATTAAATTATATCTGTCAATAAATATTGTTAATAATATTTTAAATTTAAATTTCTTTTATCTGTTTTGCGTTCATAATGACTTCATTATAACATCGCTTTCGGTGCTGTAATGAGATACTTTACCCCACCCAAAATTTTGATTTTATAGGTTGGCTATACTTTAAACAGCATACTAGTTAAATAAAATTTTGCATATTAGTTATAATATTTTTATGATTTTTCTAGTGCTTTTCTGGCAATAAATTTTGTTTAACACCAAATAAAATCCTTTTCTTCTTCTTTAACATGAACAGCCGTAAATAAGTAAATTAAGGACGGCATGGCGAATCGATTTTGACATTAACTGTCAAACCAATGACTGTTATACCAACTATCTAAAGTAAAAGTCGACCAAATTAAATATTAAATTATTTTTTTTATAGAATTTTTGCAAAACTCATGTCATAAGACCTTTTGTCGCACTCGTCCATTACAAAATTCGCTCCTTCGTCGCTCGTTGTCCGCGTGCGACAAAATGACGTCTTATGACATTAGTTCCTTAATAAACTGTTTTGTGTTGCTGTTTTAAGGCGATTCTCACATGGCGACGCGACGCTACGCTACGCTACGCGACGCGACACTTTAAAATGTAGCTGATGAAAGATTTCCATTCATTTAAATAAGACAATTCCCACATAGCGACGCGACGCGACTCGACAAAATTTTGTCGCTTCCTAAAGGCCGATTCTCACATAGCGACGCTACGCGACGCGATGCTTCAAAATCGCGCCCTATTGTCGCTCCAGGAAGCGACAAAATTTTGTCGCAACAAAATTTTGTCGTGGAAATCTTTCATCAGCTACATTTGTCGCGTAGCGTAGCGTAGCGTCGCGTCGCTATGTGAGAATCGGCCTTAAAGCGACAATAGGGCGCGATTTTGAAGCATCGCGTCGCGTAGCGTCGCGTCGCTATGTGAGAATCGGCCTTTAGGCTAAACTTTTTGCATCTTTGTTTGTTTTTATAAACCATTTAACCCATGGATTCTACATGCATTTAACTTTAACAATAGTTGGTGGTAATTAGTCAAACTTTAACTATTTAAGTAGGTACTAAAATAGTCAAACTTTAACTATTTAAGTAGCCTACTTAAAGTAGGTACTAAAAAATAACTATTTAAAAGTGAATACGAATAATTTTTTACTAATTGAAATGGTAGAATTTTGACTATTTCATTTCAAGAGAGTAGATTTAGCAGTTAGATTTAGTTACCTACATACTCTTTGCTTCTCAAGATGCCAACATCGTCGTCGAAAAGAATTTTAACCACTTTGTGTTTTGTTTGTTGGAAAGTTTTTCTAATATTTGTTTAACATATCACCAAAGTTGTCCTTTTCCAAATAATGGTTTACAGTATTGCGGTACTGCGTGAGTTCTGAATTGGCCGGCCATATCTCCAGATTTAACTCCCCCGAACTTTTTATGTGGGGTCAATTAAATCGGCCCAAATTAATTTCAAATATTTATATAAAGTTTTACATCCCTTATTCTAATTTCAGATTTGTTGTACCGGGCGCCGGAAGTGCTACGTAGTCAGGCCTCGTTTTTGTCCTGCAAAGATTCGTCGACATGCGGTAGCCAGAAGGGCGACGTTTACTCCTTCGGGATCATTTTGTACGAGCTGCACAGCCGTCACGGGCCCTTCGGCGATTTGGATCTGTCAGCGGCAGAGATACTGAACCGGGTCATCAACTGCAACAACCCTTTGGCACCCTTTCGGTAAACAAACACTTTCTTATTGAGTCAAGCCTAGGGTTGCAACTTTTCATGAAAAATTGAAATTTTTGAAAAGTTGGGTTTAATTTTTCGGAAAAGTTCGGAAAAGTTCTGAAAAGTTGAAAAAGATGGAAAAGTTGAGTTTTTTGTAATGTAAACGTATAAAACATAAATAATGCTTGTCAATGTATTAAAATAATTTATTTCTTATGTATTTATACATACGTAACAAAATAACAAAAAAAATATCAAACAAAATAAAATGAACAGACAACATAATAACAACAAAAATAAACTAGGTTTGAATTAAAAAAATCATATTTTTAAGTAAAAAGGAATAGAAATTTATACACACCATAAAAAACACATACTTACAAAATAAAAAATAATTACAAAAAAATTTGAAGCAAAAATTATTAAATTTAGTGTTGTTAAATATTATGGAAATTTACAAGTAAAAATTTAAAAAGAAAAAGAAAAGAAAACTTTCTTCTTTTCCACTTTTATATTTTCACTTGCAAATTTCCATAATTAAAAAAAATAATATTTTTTTTCATACTGTGTATAAATTTAAAATACGTTATAATAAAAGAATCTTTATAAAATAGAAAATGCTGTTAGCAGACACCATTTTTGATAAAGTTTGACAAAATGTTATTCCAAAAAACAATACTTTTAGCATGTTTTACTAAAAACACTTCAAATCTAACGATTTATATCGAATTTTGACCAAATTATCTACCAAAAAAAATTTATGGTAGTGGAAACACTGGTTAGAAGTCAACTCATTGTTCATTGGCTCCCACCTAATAACTTTTCCAACTTTTCCAATTTTCATAGGGGGTGCCGAACTTTTCCAACTTTTCCAACAACTTTTCCAACTTTTCGACCGAACTTTTCCTTGTTTGCAACACTAGTCAAGCCACGTCAAGTGGGACCAGAAAATTTCACGAAATCACCGATTTTAAAAATAATCACATTATTGTGTAGTAGGCATGACGCATATGTCACAGTAAAAAAATTGTTTTGAAATTCTCTTCTTTAGTAATGTTATTAAAGTTAATAATTTTGTCAAACTTTAGAGCATGGTAAAATTGAAAAAATAGAATCTCTGGGACCACTCTGTATAATTGAATTAAATTTTACACACTATTGTAGCAATGTTTAGACTATTAAATGATCATTTTATTAAGGTAGATTTGTTTAATTAAAAGAATTTTGCGTTTCTCGGAAAAACATCATTAGTCCAATATCGTCGAAATTTAGATATTAGCACCAACTGTTTCTTAACATCCATATATACGTATACAAATAAGTGTTTCTCGTAAAAATGTCATAGGTTCCATAATAATTAAATATGAAATTTAGCTTGTTCTTCTAAAAACATCACAAGTCCACTCCGTTTCGTCTAAGAAAGTCACATGTGCATAACATGTGACGTTTTTGGACACTCTAGAAAAGCTTCTACCTCTTTTACATGACCACAGCAATAGAAAATTTTATGATAACTTGATAAAAGACCAGAAGACCATAGCACCTGACAGTCCTGATAACACGGTCGACAACGATGATAACAGCAGTGGATGGGAAGACTGAGTGTGGCAGTAATGAAGTTTTTAGTTTTTTCATTTATTTTGTTACTCAGAGTTAATATTTAGTTTGTAGTGTTTGTAGTAAGGAGAATTGTTCGTTTTTTTCTTCTAAAAACCTCACATGTTCATGTATTTTTTGTGTTTTTTTCATATTCGTAACAAAAAACATGAGGAATTCTGGACAAAGTATCTTACATTTTTTTACATGTAGTAAATAGGTCAATAAAGTACTTTGGTAAAAAATGGGAATGTCATTTATTATAAACAATTGAAATTTTTTATGTGTTCTTCACGCTGAAAAAAAATTAATCTTGTGTCATAATATGCGGAAAACGTTCCCGTTTAAAAAAATTTACTCAAAAATTTGTCCTTCGTAGGTCATTCCGGAGATATTAATTTTTTTCTACCGCTGTGCGCTTGAGCAGTACGCAGCGCGCTTCGCTGCTAGCTCGTTAGCGCAGCTTTCCGTTAGAACGTTAGAACCGACGAGCTAGCAGCGAAGCGCGCCGCGTACTGATCGAACGCACAGAGGGACAAAAAAAGTAATATCTCCGGAATGAGATATAAAGGACAAATTTTTGAGTAGATTTTATTAAACGGGAATGTTTGTCGCATATTATGACACAAGATTAATTTTTTTTCAGCGTGAAGAACACATACAAAAATTTAATTGTTTATAATAAATGTATGCAAAATTCTTGTATTTAAACAAATTTACCTTAATTAAATGACAATTCTATAGTCTAAACATTGCTACAATAGTGTGTAAAATTTAATTCAATTATACAGAGTGGTTCAAGAGATTCTATTTTTTCAATTTTACCGTGCTCTTAAGTTTGACAAAATTATGAACAAATTATGAATTTCAAAACAATTTTTTTACTGTGACATATGGGTCATGCCTACTACACAATTATGTGATTATTTTCAAAATCGGTGATTTCGTGAAAATTTCTGGCCCCACTTGACGTGGCTTGACTAATTACAAACCTAAGATTTACTGTTTTTGTGTTTCCTTTTTATTAGCATATAATTAATTATAAAGTTAATATCCTGTACCAACAAACCTTCATAAATGAATAATATTTTATCTCCAATTCACAGCAGTTTAAATATTTGCCAACAAACGAAATTAATTAATTAATTACTTAATCTTATTTTTACGACACAGAGATTTCCATAAATTATAAGTAATAAAATTTTCAACGGTTAAAGCTTTATAAAACTTCGCGAATAGTAAGTATTTTTAATGGTTTGATGCCATTGATAACGTGATTTAGAATGGCGCTGCTTTTCATCTATCAAGCCAAAAATGAATTTTAAAAAATGCATAATGTGGGTGGTTTTCTTTGTTCAAGTCCGCCATTAGGATCACTGGAAACGAGCTTTGACTTTGTTAGAGACTGCTTAAAAGAATGTTGGACGGAAAATCCAGAGGAACGCCCCGACTTCAAAAGCATACGGACCAAATTGCGACCACTTCGAAAAGGGATGTAAGTCAACATTATGTATAAAAAGTTGTTAAAATAATACCTAATCGAACACTAATTGCCGAACCTATGCACAAAACTTTTAAGTCAATGTTTAAATTCAAACGTTTGGTTATAACCTAACTATATAACCTAACTATAGTTAGTTTTAACTACGGTTTCGCGTAAAAATCGAACAAATTTTTTTACATTTGTTTGCAAGTGATGCCAGAATTGAATATATTTTTTTAACCTTGTTTCTACATCTAAATTTGTTTCAAAAAATTTCATCCATTGACCGCTGTGGTTACTCTATTGTGTTAAAATTAGATAAATTTCGATATTTTGTAATATCATTTTTATTAAAAACGTATCGATTTAAAATTAAGATTAAATGTAAACCTAATTGGTGTCAATAAATCCACGTAATATTTTTTTTACATTTTAACATACAGGGGGCGCTGGGAACAATTTAATTTAAAATTTTACCATTTTTAAGGGTTAAAAAGTCGAAGAAGCAACGTCGTTTTATAATTTTAAGTATATCACGTTAAAGTACTGATAATTATTATTATTATTATTATTATTATTTTTTTATTATTATTTTTTTATTATTATTATTATTATTTGATATATAAACTTCTACATGCAAATTATGTTTCTACGAAAGACACCATTTTTAAGTTAGGCCTTCAAAGCATAATACTAACGTGTTTTACAAATTATATTTTCTTTTATCTAGTTTTAAAAGATATAAAACATTACATATTACATAATATATATATATTATAATATATTATATATAACATACAATTCTTACATATTTATTTTAAAAAAATGCAGGCATCATATACTTTTCTCTATGGTAACCTAGCATTGGAAGCATGAAAGGTAATTTGACAGTTCAGTTTATAAGTTGCAAATGACTGATTACGTTTCAATTTATAAGTATACTATAAACTCAAAACATTAATTTATTAAAATGAATAAACTAAATAATAATTATAGACAGTGTCAGCAAGTTAGAAATTATATCAATTTATTTTTTACTCGATAAGCAAGCTTCAATTTTAATTCCAAACTGAGGAAAGTAATATTTACCCAATAAATTAGAATAAAGACTTTATTTTTTATGTTGCGATCGGCTATTTAGATATATCTATATTTTTTATTCAGTTGTTTTTCGATTGTTTGTAATTAGTTATTTTGCATTATTTTATATTTAATATAATGCTATACAGGGTGTTTCTGGAAAAACGCAAACGGTATGGATTTGAAATATTAATAGCATATACAATTTTATTTAGACTATACCTAGTCAATAGTTTACAAGATTTTTAAAATTTTGCACGTTAATCAAAAATAGCCTCTAATTTTTTTGTTATTATGTTTGCTGACATGGGGTTTGGAATTTATGGAATATTAAAACTTTATTTAAATAATTTTATTTATTAAATGTTTTTCAACAAATGCCTTGAGAAAAACCACTTGAAATTATGCGAGCTTCGAACTTTTTTATTATAAATGTAAAACCCTGTATGTTTTAACATAATCAAATAGAACAATAAATAATCTTTCGATTGGTATTATAATAACTATTTCCTATAGTTAAAATTTCAGAGACATTTAACAATTTTTAATATTTTCAATACTATTTTGTATCAAAAAACCTGTGAAATTATACATGTGGTTTAAGGTGACAGTATCCATGGTTACCATCAAATCTGTCATTGTTTAAAATTAATTGAAATATTTCATTGAAAAATTAACTCATAAAATATTGACTTTAGGTATAGGATATGGTATAGCCATTTTACTCAGAATTTTATGTAGAATTAAAAAATGTAATAATATATAAGGTGTCCTGTTTAAAATAACAAAGTTAAAGACATTTCCGGTAAAACAGGAAGTATTAATTTGTTCAAAATAATTTAGGAAAAAAGTCTTAAGCGAATAATTTACGCTATTAAAATTTTAATCGATGTCTTTCGCGATTCCCTAGAAACTTCTAACGGACTACGTACGTGAAACACCCTTTATATTAAACGTCATTTATGTGTTATGCTATACTCAATTATTAATAAAAGATACAACAATATAAAAATGACAAAACTAAACATTTATGAATACTGCTACAGCTAATTCAAAACTGATCCTGGCCACAGAAACATCATTTGCATAAAAAAGTTAATATATCAAATAATAGTCAAATATCAATACTTTAACGTGTTATACTCAAATTTATAAAACAAAGTTGCTTCTTCGATTATTTATTTAAAAATTGTTAAATTTTAAACTAAATTATCACCAGCGCTCCCTGTACGTTAAAATCTAAACACAATTTATGGATTAATTGTCATTAGTAAGATCTACATTTTGTCCAAATTTCAAATCGATACGTTTTGAAATAAAAAAGTTATTTAAAAAAAATTAAATTTCTTCATTTTTAACACAGTGAAGGAAAAAATAAAAATTAAAACAAAGTTGTCAATGGAAGAGTTTTTTTTAAGTTTCAATCGATTTCTTAAACCCTTGCAAATCGACTGTTCGATCCTTTAGCAAAACCGTAGTTAATAAGTTATATTTTTAAGGCAATCTTGTAATATTTCATAATAAAATATTAAATTTATAGTTCATTACTAAAGTCAAATGTTATATAAAGTAACAAATTTCAAAATTTTATTTTCTTTTTTAAGACCCAAGTAAATTACTTAAAGTTATATTTGAGTATTTGTAAATTTGTACTGCGTTGTAACAAAATTGAAGATGCTCCTTAACGTATTAGAACAGCGGAGAATAAAGAATCCCACTAGAGTGGAATTCTGTAGTGGTTGGTAGAGATTACTCTAGTATAGAACTAGTTGTTTAATTTTTACTTTTAGGCATCCTAAAGTATGATATTCCTTTTTGAAAGGTTAGTAAACACAGTCGGACAAAAGATTTAGGACAACAATGTTCTATCGTCTAGCAATTTTTAAAGCTCCTACGTTTAATCTAGGCGGGAGCTCTCGGCATTGGCTGCCGCTTTTTTGCTCTCATTTAATTACACTATTACCTACCTAGAATTTTTTATTTTTAAATTTGGCATCTCCATTGCTCTGTTGCGCGACTTCTTGGACACCCTGTATACTGACCCTGTATACTGACAAACACGACGGATAAACTTTTTAGTAGGTTTTCTTTACCCCCTGTATGTTATTCGATATTTTAGAATAAAGGCATTTAATAAAAACCTTTCATACTTTTAAATAACTGTATAAACTGGTTTGTTTTTTAGTTTATTTTTTAAAACCAATTCAATTTAAAATTTAATTTACAAGCTGAAATGTTACTCGGAAAATTTAAATTTAAAAGTAGTTATAAAATAAAATTGCCGAATTGTTTTTAGAGTAAATGTTAATTTGTATTAAAAATATTGAAAATTGAAGGTGTGTACGAGGTGTGTTCAGAAAATAACAGGAATTGTTAAATTTTGCGGGTTCGGAGGGTCCGGTTGTCATAAAATTTTCTTTATTATATTGGTATACATGCCCCCGAAGTATGATAAAAACTTTAGCTGTTTTCATTGTTTACTTTGTCTGTGGCAGCCGCTAAGGTTAGACGTGTTTTATGAGCTCGGCGATTTTTCGTTCGTTAAAAGAAATGGATCAAAGAATTTGTATCCAATTTTGCTTAAAAAATGAAATAAATTCTGTGAAATGTTAACAAAGGCCTATAGTGAGTCTGCTATAAGTAAAACAAGAGTTTACGAGTGGTATAAGAGTTTCCAAGATGGCCGTGACGACGTTGAAGATGACGAACGCCCCGAACTCACAAGCACATTAACAACCGATAAAAACATGGAAAAAGTGGAAGAAATGGTTATAAACCATCAGAGAAGTCGCTGATGATGTTGGTATATCGATTGGCTCATACCATGAAATTTTTTCGAATGTTTTAGGTATAAAACGCGTGGCAGCAAAATTTGTTCTAAAATTGTTAAATTTTGAACAAAATTTTTGGCCAAAAACAATACTGTAATGATGCCTCAGCCTCCACATTCGCCAGACATGCCTCTGTCTGACTTTTTCCTATTCCCAAAAATAAAGAGAACCTTAAAGGACCGTCGCGACGCGTCGTTTTGCAAGCATAGATGACATTAAAAGCGCATCGCTGAAAGAACTAAAGGCTATCCCAAAGATCGAGTTTTAGAAGTGTTTCGAGTATTGGAAGAAGAGCTGACACATGTGCATAATATCCAATGGGGACTATTTAGAAGGCGACAACATTAATGTAGACGAATAAATAAATATTTGTTTCAAAAAACTAAAATTCCCGATATTTTCTGAACACAACTCGTATTGATAAGACTATATTAGACTTAAACCAATTTTATCTTTCTTAAGAGACAAAACAATTAGTTGATTGATCTTTGATAAATCATTTGGAGAAGGTTTAAAAGTACTTTTGACACCATATCTTTTTAAATTTACAAACTTACGTAATATCCATTATATTTTTAAAATGAGCAATTTTTGTACTCGTTTCAAATTCATTTTCTTTGTATTATGAATGTTGAGAGGGTATTTTTTACGAGCAAACTTGGAAAATAAAATATAAAAGTAATAAAACCACAAGAAAGAACTATCATAAACAATAGCAATCATCCCTTAAGGGATACATTTTTTTATAATAATTTATTTTCGCAAATCAAATCAAGCACTTTTTTGGTAATTAATAAAACAAATGCTTAAATATTGTTGCCTGTTTTATTTTGCATTTTGTGTACGTCTAATAGGTATCACTGCTTAGATCGAAAAAAAGTTAAAACAATACGCTAAAGAAGTATCGCTAGTAGCGCCACCACTCGGCTGTTATCATCGTAACAAAAGTAGAACTTTTAATAATCAGCTGTCAAACGCTTAGTTACAAACGAGTGTTTTTGAGAATAAAGCCGGAAAATGTTAAAAAATATCGAAAAAAAAACCGTGGATCGATTTGTTGTGTTGTTGGGTGTATTTCGAGAGGAAATCCTGGGTTGAGTTTTTACCGGTTTTCCAATAAACAGTGTTAATCTGAAGGAAGAAATAAATTGCATACAGTCTCTGTATATATAAATTGTACCTATTAGAAACCATAAATACACATTTTAGTAGTGATTAACGTAAAAAGTGTAAACATTTCAATGCAGTAAAAATCGTCAAACAAATAAGTCGTCTAAATTTAAACAGCATTTAGCATTATTAAAAGCGTTAATTAAGAATTCTTTAAAGTCTCCACTCAGCGGTAAAATACCATTATATTATGTATTATATATAATATTAAGTTGTTTAAAATGGAGTTGTCGGCGTTTTTTAGTATTTTTTACTTACCGAATTGGATCCTTTGGCAAAACATGAAAATGCAACGATTTAGTTCTTGAATTTTATTTACAATTAAAAACACAATGATTCACCATGATCCCTTTGATAAAATACACACAGTAACATAACTATATAAGCATTTAAGGGTTGAGTTTCTTAATCAATTATATAAGGAATAATCAATCGAATTCGAGTACTAAAAAGTTTTTTTAATTTTTTCCTTGCAACGTAAAACACAAGTAACGTGCGCGATTAAGCTGTGCAATTGAACAAAATTTGTCGAGTAAGACTTCTGCCTTCCTCTCTTTTGTAAAAAAACTACCTATTTATTTAAAAATGATGTATAATCGGTGCTTTAAATTTATTGTTGACAATGCTTTTAATTTAAAAATTCACGCAATGCATTCAAAGTCCACCAGATGGCGCGCGCGTTGGGAAAACCCGATACTTCTTTAGCGTATAAATTTCGTCCGCAATAATGTCATATTCGTCAAAATTGTGACTTACATCGACTGTAAATCATACTTATAACCTGTGTTATTGAGGATTAATTATGCGCTCTCTATCTCAGGAAACCCAACATATTCGACAATATGATTGCAATGATGGAAAAATATGCAAACAATTTGGAGGTGCTCGTCGACGAGAGGACTGATCAATTGCAGGAGGAAAAAAAGAAAACAGGTAAGAAAATTAATCCCGGCGCATTCGCCATTTTTCAAACGTAGTAAACAAAATATTAATGAAAATTAAGCAAATAAAGTCCATATTAGACAAATATATTATTTTGCAGAAAATGTTTGTTATTTCATATACTTTGACATGTTTTAAAAACCACGTTCTCGCAGCAGAACAAATATTTATGGTAAACACGAAATTTTAATCGGGTTTTCCAACTGTATTGACTGGATATTTTACGGAAGCATGTTTTAATTTTAACTACAACTTTCGTGCACAAAATAACTGCAATTTTTGGCGTGCTTTGACTAAATTATGTAAACAATAAATTCCATAAACTGGTCGCCTCACGAAATATGCTAAGAGATGCACAATATTCCTAAAATTAGAATACATAACAAAACCCTATTTGTAAAACTTGCAGATGAAGAAAACTTGCAATAAAATAAAATTTAAAGCGATATAAAATCGTATAATAACTTTAACATTTATTCCTTTTTAGGTAGGTAATAAAAATTTAAAAATAAAACAGGATATAGAGTTGTTGGCATATTGTATTTTTTTGATCAAAAAATGATTATTTTTACATTGTACAGGACAACAATCTAGTTGAAAGAACTTTATTACAAAAAAATCTGTAATAATTCCAGATAGGTGTTGTTATTCAATAAAGTATGTTTCACATTCGTGATCCATTAGAAGTTTCAATTCTTTAAAAAACTTTAGCTTCTTACTTATTTAAATTTAAAAGATTTTCGATTGATGTTTGACAATTTCTAAATTTTTTAATATTATTTAACTAAATTATTTAAATATCTATGGTTACCACGTAATCTGTCATTGTTTAAAATTTAATCGCGTAAATTTTTCAGGTTCTTAAAAACAATTTTTTAAATAGTTAAGTGTTGTAAACAATATTACTGATAAAAATAGCAGTCAGTAACTTGGACAAGCCAAAAATTTTAAAAATTTAAAAGTTATACAAACAGTATATGCTTATTTTGAAAAAAAAAACTCTACAAAGCTGTAGATGCCAAATAGATAAAGCCCTAGCTCATTTGAGAAGTAAGGATTTTCTTTACTATAATGCTGGGAAGCAACAACACCATTTGTGGTTATGTACACTCAGAAAATTTTAATAATAAATATAAATATCTAACAAAAAAGTAGTTTGTCTTAATAAAGTAAAGATCCCTATTCGTCCAACATTTGCTTTTGTTACGGCAAAAAGATCATTTTTTATAAATAATCAAAGATCATTTCTACAAACGCTGCTTTGAGTAAAAGGATTTGCATTAATTATAAAGTAAATTTACGTTATGTTTATAAAAATAACACTCTTCCAGATGCAGAAACGCATTGATAAATATAGTTATTATTATTTGTCCAAAAAAACAGTTCTATACCGTTTACAAAAACGTTTTGTAGTATACCCTAATGGTATATTCATAGAAATTTTGAAAATTTTACAAATTCCTTTTCGTTTAAAATAAAACTTTTTTTATAATATTATTAAATTTTATGTAAATTTAACAACAAATTATTTGTTAATTCAATAAACTATTTTCATTGTAACAATGGTCACATTTTCAACCTACTGTTGGGTGTTGGGTAGTTTTTTTTTAAATAATTGCAAGGCATTAAAACAAATTATTTATTATAACAAAAAAATTAACTCATATTATATGAATAAAAAAAAATGAACTCACTTTTTAAACAAAAAGTCTGCTTCGTTTATAGAATAGACCTTAAATATTTCTTTTAGAAAACGTCGAAATTTTAATTTTCTTAGTGATCTTTTTGATATTTTTATCATGCTAGATTTTACCACACTTCACTCGCACAAGTGAAATCAATAAGATTATAACACAGACTGTGGATTATAAAGTTATGTTCACCAAGGAGAGCGCTGGCCCTTTCCCCCTCTTTTCAAGGGAAATAACAAAAATTTTGTTAGCTTTGCAAAACAATGGCCTTTTTAATGCAATAAAATATTTTTGTTATTATTCTTAACGTAAGTTATTAACAAAGATTTTCTAACTAAAATAAAATTAATTTGAATTACAACGATAGTAATTTAAAAAGACAAATATGCTATAGTAAAATGAACAAATTTTACTATAACAACTGCACATTAGGTACAGTTACGGAAACAAGTAATGTCCTTTTGAATGCTCCATTGTAATTGTTCGGAGGCATTCGGGTTTTGCTAATAAAATTAACATATCTAACATAACATATTTACCATTCTTTCTAAGCACATTTCATTTGACTTTTAAGCTTTTATAATTAAATATTTAAGGAATAACATTGATTCTGAAATAATTTAAATATAATATAATATATATAATACATATTATGTTATATAACTTATTAAATAAACTATATTTTATTTAATAAGTTGTTATTATGAAAATGAAATATAGACATTTAATACTAAAATAATTATAAATTAAACTAAAAAGCATTTTGTGCACTATTAATACGTTTTCTACTTCTATTGCATATTATTGAAATTTTTTGTTTTTTTTTTGGGTAAATAATGGTAACCAATATAACCGCCTGGCCTATCAAAGTGAATTATATTATATTATTATTATTATATTCACGTTGTTAGGTATCAGTGATTGGCTTATTTTAATATTCACTGTTATTTGAACCAATCGGGTTTTAAATTAGAAAAAAGTAAGGTTGACAGATGTCAGATTTATTAATATATACGAGGGGCGGCTATAATAATCGTTAAAATGGGAGAAAAGTGAGGTTATAATAAATTTTGTTATCAATGAAAATTACTTAATTGGAGTAGAAAAAACATAGTATTACACTCGAAATAATGCGCATTATTTACTCGGATTAATTACGTATCTCGCCTGACGGCTCGACATGCAAACCTTATCCTTTTGAATAATAGCCTGCATTATCTCTCGTATAATAATATACTATCATCAACATTTTAGTTTTCATTACTTGTTTTATGAAATATCTGCCCAATACAAACTTATTTCAATGTATAAAAATCCAATAAAATATGGAAACGGCACAAATTTATAATTATTATAATAATTAAACTTGGTATTCCCAAAGGCTCTAAGTGTCAAAAATAAAATTGTGAGAAATCAATGAAAATCCATCCATCTTTAAAATACAAAAATAATATGGAGAAAATTTTTTTAGTCGTTTTGCATGGCACATAGACTATTTTTAAATTATAATATAATATTTGACCAAATTGGGTCCAAACCCTTTGGGAATGCCATGCTTCAACTATAATTATTAATGTAATTATTTACCATTTATTTTTAAAAAAAGAGGCAGCTTTCTTTGCTCATGGTTTTAGATAACATTTTCCTAAAAAAGGGTCTTACTAAATTTTACCATAAATTTTGAAAAAGTTTGAAAATCTTGAAAATTTCTATAAATTCAACTTTTACCTTGAATACCTTGAATACATTTTAAAAGAGCCCTACTAAAATTTGTTTTAGTTTTACTAATCCGAGTTATACAATTTTAAAGTATTTTAAAAAATCTACTTTTTAACATTTTATTCCGGAAGAACTTTTGGTCTGTAAAATTTATTACCTACTTTTATGACATAATTTAAGTTTTTTGTATTTAAGGTATTTTCTGTTTATACATCTATAGGTATTGTAAAATGTAAAGTAAGTTTTAAAAAACTACAACTTGATAATATTATTTATAGCCTAAAAAGTTCTTATTAAAAGTTTTTTCATAGAATAAATGTTTATAAAACTATACAAAAATATATCAAAAAATTAACGATTTAATAAAAATACAGTTAAATATGTAATATACCCAAAATAATTAATTCAATACGAGCAGATGTTGACTATTTCCGAATGACTCCGAACAAATACAATGGAGCATTCAAATGGACATTACTTCTTTCCTTAACTGTACTTTATGTATCTATAGATTTAACAAAAACATTTTAAGTTCGACAAAGATTTAATATAAACATAAAGTATTTCTTATTGCCATGACAATATGATAACAACTATTACTTTGTTGGATGAACATTTTTTTTTATAAAAGCTCAACATTGCTGCTTCATTATTATAGTAAATGAGAACAGTAAAAAAGTTTATTCTGTAAATAAAAATAGTCTCATAACTTTGACAAATCGTAGGTTTTTGTCCCAATAAGACACTGAAAATTTAATAAAAAAGGTACATTTTTTATATCCATTACAATTTTAAATTTAAGTTAATAAAAATTATTTTATTAATCGCTTACAAAATTATTAGTTTCATTATCAGTGCATGTACATTTTTCTGAGTGTAGTTTCCTTCAAAAAACATTTATATAGGAAAAGTAAACAATTGATAAACCTGATTTTCAGAGGCCCTTCTGTACGAAATGCTGCCGCGTCCGGTGGCCGAGCAGCTGAAAAGAGGGAACAAAGTCGAAGCTGAAAGTTTTGATTGTGTTACGATCTACTTCAGCGACATTGTCGGCTTTACAGCTATGTCGGCTGAAAGCACTCCATTACAGGTAAATTGATTAATCCAGTTTTAATAGTTTTCCAGATATGATAACCGCAGTGGGTATCTTTAAGAAACGACATCTTTGGCACAAAAAAATGAATATCAATCAAATGCAGCTTGCCTTTTTCAATTTAATAAATGACGTTTTAAATTTTTATTATTATCTAATAATTAAATAGAAATCATGGTTCAAACTTTTTAATATATACGAAAATATTTCAAAGAAAATAATTAGATTAATTGAAGTTGCAAATATCTTTCTATCTCTTTGAATATAAAATGAAATTTTAATTAAAAAAAGTAGACTTTTTTCCTCCCCAAAAGTAAAAAATCATCCTGTGTTAAATTTATTTATTTTTTTAGGTGGTGGACTTTTTAAATGATCTGTACACTTGCTTTGATTCAATTATCGAGCATTATGACGTTTACAAAGTAGAGACTATTGGAGATGCCTACATGGTGGTAAGTGTTTTAGGAAAAAATAATTTTAATTTAAATACTAAACATTCAGTGATATTTTTGTTGCCTAAAAGTTTATTTACCAATAAATCCTTTCATATAAGTTAATATTTGTGGGGCTTATCTAAATTCCTATTGAACCCCTTCAATAAAAAATATACACAATCAAAAGTTTATGAAATTCAATTTGTATTCACACAGAATTCCAATAAAAAGATTATATTACCATTTGGATTTCATATCAATAAGACTTTTACTTTCTTAAAAGCACTATTTACAGGCAAAGAAGCAGAAAAATCAGAGAAGCAGAAAATCGTATTTTTCCGACTATTTAATTTTAAATTTATAAAAACACTGTTAAAGCAGATACCTGCTTAAAAAAGGTGATATGTTAAACAAATATTAAATATTATTAAATATTCCCCAACACCAAAATAAAACACAAAGTGCCTAAAGTACTTTCAGAAGCGTAATTGTAAGTGTAACTAAATCTAATTGCCAAATTTTCTAATATTTGTTTAACTGTTAAAGCAATTTTACTCACGCTTTGTTAACCTTATAATTTGATCTTTTAGGTAAGTGGTCTTCCCATAAAAAATGGTCATTTACATGCCGCCGAGATAGCCACAATGTCGCTACATTTGCTTTCTGACGTTAAAAATTTTGCAACCAGGCATAGGCCTAAGGAAAAATTGATGTTACGGATTGGAATACATTCGGGTAAAATAATTTCCTAAAATTGTTGTTAGTAGTAATAATAAATAATAATTTCAGGGCCGGTTTGTGCAGGCGTGGTAGGTCTAAAGATGCCGAGATATTGTCTTTTCGGTGATACAGTGAATACTGCTAGCAGGATGGAGTCCACCGGAATTCGTAAGTATAGTAAATTTAAAAGGAAACGACGTACAATTCTGTAATTGAATATTTAAATGCATTTTAACCAAATTCAGTTGGCAGCAATTGCAATGTTGTCATGTTTAGATTAAAATTTTGCTTAATAAAATGACGCCTAGAAAAAGAAATTGACGTTCTAGAATTTCGAATCTGTCAGTTGTGTTTTTGATTATTTTGTTTAATTTGTGTATAATTTCGTTTATTTTGTTTGTTGTTTGTGTTATTTTATATCGTTTAAGTTTTTTATGTTTGTAATAAACATTTTTTTTGGTTTTCCTATATTTAAAATGCCGAAGCATTTAAATAGCCGGAGTCAAGAGTTGGTATCATCCTTAATACACGATTTTAAGGCAGAACGGGATAATAATGGACCTTTGTTACCTTTAACAGCTGTTATATCAGGATTATTATTAATCATAAATTAGAATATTTAACAAACAGTGCCGGTTTAACAGGGGTTTTTTGGGGACTATAACACCGGGCGGTAAATATTTTTGGGGCGGTACCGCGTACCGCCCATAATTTAAAAAAAAATACTTAATCGTTAGAATTTAGAAAAAAAATTATTGCAACACTGCGGATACAACGGATACAAATGAGAAAAATGTTGTTAGAGTTAAAGCAGCTTCTCCATCAGAAAAACTTGATTTATTGGAAACGGAATAATTTTAACTTTTTGGATAGACGTTTTGCAAAGGGTTAATGAAACCAATAAAGCAGTCCAAAAACAAAATATGGATTTAAGCACAAATGCTCATCTTTTGTCATTTTTAGTTGAGAACATTGATTTTTTACGTCATCATTTTGATCATTACGAGGAAATTAACAGGAAACGAAAATTATGCTCAGAAGCGGATAATCATAAGAAAATTACAATTTGAAGAAAATAATTCAGAGGCAAGTTTAAGCAAAAAAGAAACAATGCGAACAATATGTTTTATTTTAATAATTGACAATCTATAATCCGAAATCATTTTTCGATATGATAGCTAGAAATCTGGCACAAACAAATTTGAATTTTTGTTTAATCCAAAAGCACAAATCTTCGTGGAGGATTTAGATGAGTTTTATCCTCAAAAATGGGTCCAACTCAAGAAACTGGTAACTTCCCTTTCGGAAATAAAAATAAACTCCATTGAAATTAGTATAAGTTTTATACGAAAATAAATTAATATCTTCATTTCCGAATATTAATATTTGTCTGCAAATTTTTTTTTATAATGGTTTCAAATTCAAGTAGTGAACGATCTTTCTCTACTCTAAAAAGGGTAAAGAACTACCTAAGAAATACAATTCCCCAAGAAAGATTTAACTCCTTAGCAATTCTGTCCATTTATCAAGACCTGCTAGATGAAATAAATGTAAAGTGTTATAAAACAATTTGCTACTATAAAGACTTTTAATTATTAGTATTAGGATTTCTCAATATTTAAACCAAAGAATAATGTTTTATTTATTTATAAATATTAAACTCTTATTTTTTAATTAGTTTTTCTTATTACTTAGTATTGTTTATATAAACCAAAGAATGTTTTATTTTTTAGTTAGTGCTTTTGATTAGTTTTTATAATTTGTTTATAAAGGCTCATTTTATATTTTATAGGATACTAGGTTTACTGTTAGATACCAGCCTAACCAACCTAATCTTCCACTTGACGTGAGAAAGTAAGATTTAAAAATTTAAAAATGTTTTTAAAAAAGTAATATTTTAAAGCATTGGGCGTTGTGTTTGTGCCAGAACCGGGCGGCGAACTAACTTAAACCGGCACTGTTAACAAAATATATGTTGTATTTATAAAATATTAATATATATACCAGAGACTGACTTTAGATGGCAAAATTTCTGGGTTTTATAGCTGAAAATGTCTAAAAACATACTTTTGGCGGTGCATCATATAGGTTATAAACTCTGACTTTTGATATTTTGGTATTCTAAGGTCCCAAATCTAGGGACCCTATGGTATTATTCATGTAAACGCCATCTATCGCTCTGTAGTTGCACTTTCACTTTCAATGATTTTAGCATCACATTGACAACCGTGCCCGATCACCTGTTTGATGACATGTACGTCGTTTCCTTTTAAATTTACTATAGCTTCGCTCGTTTGCCGTGGCAACGTAAAACAAATAATTTTCATTTCAGCATTGAAAATCCACTGCAGCAAAGAATGCCGCGAGCTCCTCAACAAAGTAGGCGGCTATCACCTGCTCGAGCGAGGGGTGGTGCAGATGAAAGGCAAAGGCGACCAAAAAACCTACTGGTTGATAGGCGAAGATCACCAGTACCGAAGAATGCGAAAAGAGGACCGCGACAAGAGGCGAGCAATGCTGGACGGCCGAAAAACCACTCAGGTCGACAGCAACGGCCACTGCATCATCACGAGAAGTTCGTTGAAGAACAAGAACAGCATCGTTAAAAGTCCGTTGCCAAGGTGCTCCTCCTTCGAAAGCCCCAAGCGGTTGAGATTCGCGAGCGGCGATAATTTGGAGAAGAAAAACGATATACAATTCCTCGATGTAATAGCAGATAGTCCTTGCAAAAAATCCGCTTGTTCCCTCATCGAAAGTTCTTTGAACGACTGCAGCGAGCAGTGGAAAACGTCTTCGACGTCTTGTCCTTGCATCGAGAACCTGGCCAATTCGGCGGCCACTTTGGCGCACTCCCAACTCTCGGTTCTTTGCAAGGACGAAAAAAGTCAAAAATTATCGAAACCATCTTGTTACAGTGTGCCCATGTTGTGCTCCCAGTTGTCTATTCCCCATTTTCCCTTGATACACACCATTTCGGCTCCATCCAGTCCGAGGAAAAAGGATCTTCTCCTTTCCAGGTTTCCTGAATGCGAAGAGGTCATACCATGGGCGGATTCGGCCCCTTTGTTAAAGATCACCAAACCATTAGATTCTGAGTCTTGTGTATGAGGAAGTATACTATAATATTAAACCAATTAAAGAAAAATATGTATAAATGACAACATTAATTACGTCAGGTTTGCTACTGAATAAATTCTGAATGTGTCCAAATGCTATGGGTACACTAGTCAACATGAATGTTGCGTCTAAGATTAGAGTAAATATATTTCATAAATGTTTAGACAGAAGAACGTTTTGTAATTGTTGATTTTGTTTGTTAAAACATGACACAGCGGATTCTTTTGGTCAGTATATTTTCTCGAGTCTGCAAACGTAATAAAGAATATTCCATATTTTAAAATATTTATGAAAAATAAATTATGTGGTAAAGCATTTATAAATACTTTAATTTTAATTATACAGGTTCACAAATATCGTCAACTTCTGGACTTTTAAATTTTTGACATTTTTCATTCATCCCTTGGTGATATAATTTAAATTTGTATTCATAAAAAGACAATAGACGGCACATGTCAATTTACCCTTAAAATTGCCTTTGCTTGTGTACAAGGCGCCCCTTTATGGCGCTGTTTATGTTTGGGGCCACAAACGATTTGGCCTCCAAGCCCATAATATCTTGGCTATTGTGTTCATAAATTCATATGCGTTGCTCTAAAATTGAGAAAGGCCGCTTTAAATAAGATTGCATTTTTTTGTTAAACATGCTGTTTATCAGTTTAATACATTAAATTCCCTGTATCTGACGAAAAAAAATGCATTACATAAATGTAATTTTTTTTCCAAATAAAATGGTGAAAAATAAAAACAATTGAACGTCGGGTTTCCGAAATATCCACAAAAATAACGTTTCCAGTATATTTTTACATATTATAAACAACAATTTAATTTGGAAAAATACTACATTTTAGACCAGGCGGAGAAAGCATAAATATTATCATTAATAAGCTTTCGCCCCCTTTTCCCCTATTGCATAATATTGTTTTTTTCGTGAATAAACATTATAAATTTCCTGCCTAACAACGGGAATAATGAACCCATTATTCACGTTGTTAGCCATCAGTTATTGGCCGATTTAATTATTCACTGTAATTTAAACCAATCGGGTTTTAAATGGTGAGAAGGTGACTATATAACATTTAACATTGGTAAAAAGTGAGGTTAAGCACTTGACGGCATTCAATTAAATAACGCATAATTTTAAGATTTGTTATGTTACCCCTTGCGGCCTTGAGTTTACGGTGAATTCACCGTTTGCGTGAATTCACCGTTTATGTGCAGTGAATATACCGTCCATTTGTGAAATTTGTAGACGGTAATTAAACGGTGAACTCACGCTGTTTTTGCGATAAATTCACGGTGATTTCACGGTTAATTCACGGTGATTTCACGGTAAATTCACGGTCAAAGTTTGCAAAATCACCGCAAATTCACTGTCAAAGTACCGTAAATTTATCGTGAAATCACCGTGAATTCACCGTAAAAGTGCTGTGAGTTTACTGTGAAAACATCGTAAATTACTGTACAGTACCACGTGGTAATGTAAATAATAAATTATTTTAATTGTTTGTAAATGGTTGTTTACTTTTTAATAAATAGTAATTTTGTTGCTAATACACGGTATTAATAATTAAATAAAAAATTAATAATAAATATTAAGATTTTTTTATTTATAAACATTATTAAATAAATAGTTTGTTTATACTTAAATATTGATGAAGCGCATTTATTTTACAAAAACTAAATTCACAAGTTCGGCAGTAAAATTTAAAGGGTTTATAAATTTACCTGCCTACTTAAACATTATATTGTTATTCTGGAAGTTATAAACTACCAGTACATACTTATTTAATAAACGACGACATTGAAAAGCCAAGTCCGTAGTGGTTCCATTGGCCTTGAGTTCACGGTTTATTCACGGTGAATTCACCGTGAATTCACCGTGAATAAACCGTGAATAAACCGTCTGTGAAAAGTGCGTGAATTCACCGTCTAACTACCGTTTACAAATGTCACAAACAGACGGTTTATTCACGGTGAATTCACTGTGAATAAACCGTAAAACTAAACCAACCAACCCAACACTTTTTAACAAAGGAACAACAAATTTATAAAATAAAAAATAAAAAAGTTCGACAACTTCTAGTGGAATCGAACCCGGTGGTACCTCTCGCATGCCAAGCGACCGCCCTACCACCCTATATATTTGGTTATATGTGGTTCAATATAGGAATTTTAAACAGGCATTGCACTATATAGTGCAATATTGAACCAGATAGAATTCCATACATGGAAAACCATAAAGAAAAGTGATTTCTATATGGAGAAAGGCAGTAACTGCATGCTAAACAAGAAATTTGTGGAAAATTAGCATAAACTAACTTTTTTATAAAAAGCTGTAGGTATTTAAATGATTTTTTTAACTTATGAGATATTTGACTGCATTTCTGTGTTGAATTCGGTTACTAAATGTCCATAGCTTTACCATAGCACAAGAAAACGCATTTTGCATTTTTTTGCAGTTATTACCTTTCTCCATAGTAGGGCAGATTGAACCATATTGGAGCTCTATCTACCCAATATGTTTTGGGTATGAAAAGTTATTAACATATAGATCCATATTTAACCTTATAGGGGAATCTATATGGTTTAATATGCAATTTTCGTTTAAATATATATATTTTAAAATGGAAACCTATATGGAAAGACACATAAAACCAGATAAATCCATATAAAAATCCTTAAGTTAAACATTTTAAAATGAAACTCCATATTAAACCATATATATTCCAGGTCGTTCCATTATGGACATATAGAACCATATAAATCCATATTAGTTTCCTTATCTGAATCAGTATATATGGGTTCTATAGGGCATTTTTAATAGGGCATCTGAGCCATCCAGCTTAACACCAATTTTAAACGCTCGGGGAATAAAAACTGATTTACAGTGTGTGACGTCAGTCGGGATCGAAGTTAGGTCCCGCCTCGGGACGGGAGCCACATCGATTAAATAATTGAGATTCTGTCACATTATTAGGTTAGGTTCCACTTGCATGATGACATTTTAGCTTTATTTCTGTATGCAGTTTAATAATAATTTGACCTTTCATTCTACATACAATTATGAGGCTTATGAAAATAATTGTCTTTTAAAATATGTAAAAATATACAGGATGTTCCATTAAAAAATATATGTTTGTGAATATTTCGGAAACCCATCGCAGGTCTTTTTTGTTTTCACTATTTTAATCAGAAGAAAAAATTCCGCCAAATTTAATAAAAGAAATAATAAAAATTTAAAATGGTATAAAACCTGTAATTCTTGAATTTTTTTAATAAAATTTGAAATTTTTAGATAAACTTCATCACTTTAATTTGAATTATCTTAATTTGGGGGGCAGGAGGCTGGGGGGCACACTAGGGTGATTCATTTCCGCAAAGTTTTTTTTTTTTCTGTGCTCAAGCAAAATATTAATCTACCTATAGAAAAAAAAAATGTCACCAAGGTAGAGCTCTTAATATCAATTTTAAGTACTTGCAGTTTAAATTTAAAGTTTTCCCATTGAAAATGCATGTAAAAAAAATGTTTTTTTTTTTCAAATTTCTAATGCTCGCCCGCTTTTTACAATATTGTGAATCGGTTTTATGGACCTTATAGGGAATTTCACGCTCTTCAAAATTGTCTTTGTGTTTTTTTGTGTAACTCGTAGTGGTTCGCCAGTAGGAGTCATCAAAATTCAATTTTTTGAATGAACATTTTTTTTTGCAATTTTTTTTAACAATTCGCAAAAAATAGTGAAAAAAAAGAGCTGAATCGTAAAAAATAGTCTTTTAACAAATATTTGATGAATTTACGGCCATTTTTATATCTAAATATTAACCAATTATGCTATTTAAATTAAACTTTCTTATTTACTATCGATATAATTCTCTACAACAATAACTTTTTCAGAGTTATTATGATTTCTGACTAAAAATAAATATAAACATAACACATCAATTCATAAAAAAAACAACAAAACTTTAATCAAAACAAATAATAGATTACATTATTAGATAATATATTGCAAATTTAATAAAAATCTCAATAGTCATAAATAAACAAGTTGATAAATATTAAATTATTTCGACTTTTATACAAAGCAAATTAAGATTTTATTTTATGACGTAACTAACGTTCCCTTAACATGTATACATGTACAATTTATTATTATATTATTGTTGTGCCGCCAATTTTAAATTAAGCGGCACGGCAGTGATGACGTTTTTTATCTATTACGTCACTAGCGTGCCCGTAAAAAATAAATTGCAGGCACTCTAACGTGCACCTAGTCACTTCGTACTTTGTTCTCGGACTAATCACTAAATACAACAAACAATACATTTTGGGGTTAAGTATAACATAAAGCCCCAAACCCATTTACAAAGACAATAGAGTCGCTAACGTCATACTAATTAACTAACATAAAATTGTAACAGTTGCTTTCCCAATCAAATAATTATAATTATTTTCTTACTTATGTTCGAATATGCCATCAAAATATTATTTAGTGCAATTATTCAAATAGCAATTTCTACTTATACAATATTGAAGCAAATGAAGTTGACAATAAAAACAATTTACTTTTTTCGTTAATTTAAGAATTTTGTTAAAAAAATTGAATAACCTTCATTTATATTTATTGCTATATTACGGAAATGTTGAAAAATTGCAAAATCTAAGTTGCAATTGTATACATGTATACATGTATATTGCAATATACAATACAATACAATATATACCTATAAAGTTATTATTATTATTATTATTATTATTATATTTGTTGTTTTTTTATAAATTAATGTTTTTTTATATTTATTAAGTCAAAAATCATAATAACTCTGGAAAAGTTATTGTTGTAGAGAATTATATCGATAGTAAATAAGAAAGTTTAATTTAAATAGCATAATTGGTTAATATTTATCAATTACTTACGTTTTAAGATATAAAAATGGCCGTAAATTTATCAAATATTTGTTAAAAGACTATTTTTTACGATTCAGCTCTT